GTCACTACTGGAGAGAGCCACTTCATGTCGTGGAAATGGAGCAACCGAGTATGGAGAGAGAGAGAACTTGAGGTTTGACGCTGTGGTTCTTGATTATTGTGTTAACGTGCCGCTTGTGGGTATCCTGCGCTCGCAACTGACGTCTTTGTGCTTGTCAAAACTTGTAAATCCTCTGACTTCAGCTGATACAAGGCCGATCATGTGTTCAGCTTGAGGTCCCTTTACGTGTCGGTGAACGTTTGGGGTCGATTCTCATAATGACTAGATTCATACCTGACGTAGAATTGCGTAAGACGAACCACGTATCTCAGCATGCTGAAGCATTGCCTTCAGTGTTTGACACTCGATAAGCCTATGATGAGGTACCGGGCCGATGAAGCTCCCTCTGGTCAGGCATCAGTATCTGATCAGAGCCCTCTTGCCCAGTTCATTAAGAAAGACCCTTGTAAATGCCTTGCTTGGCATCTTTAAACATTCGACTCTTTGGGCTTGACAATTGACCCTTGCCGAGAAATAAAAGTGATTTGCAAAGCACGTTCGGCAGATCACCATTAAGGCTGCGGTGAAGAGAGAATTAGACAATTAACCCATGGACGATGTAGCAGCGTCCGTCTGCCAAGCACTTCCGGTGCGGTGGCTCAAATTGCCAAGTTAAATCATTGGCTTTAATGCGCTCTAAATGCCGTGTTTGAGTCAATGTGAGATTGATTGCCGGTGGTGAAGCTCGAGAACTTGACTTGACAGCCTCATCATTGAACCTTGGCCCCTGATCAGCAGCAAATACCTGAATACCAAAACATTAGTTTGAGTCCGTCAAGGCATCAAAATTATCAACACTGCCGTCGGGCACGGGCCGACAGAAACTCAGTTTGAATTAGAAATGACCGTCGATCGTGAGTTGTTTAACTCAACGTGTACAAGACTTTGTTTCTTACACGCGGATAACCTACGGCCAAGACAAGATTGACGATATCCAGTGTCCAATGAGCGATCAAGAGTGTGTTAGAGACACAAGAGACAGGGGACCGTGCCACGGGAGATCCAGGGATTAACTCCACCTCCTTGTCTCTCCGGGGCGCATATGACGCACTCGTACCCGTGTCAGCCATCCCTGTCATGCAGAGGCGAGAAAGATGGCTTGAATGGTGTGGCCTGGGGTGGGAGTGGAATGGAGATCCCGCACCGGACCGGCTTTGGAGGAGCTCCCGACCTTCAGTAGGCGCTTCCAGGTTTATAAAACCACGAGATCATTCAACTCGAAACCACAGCCGCTGCAGGCGCGTGTGAATATGACGATAGAGTCATAGGCTTCATGAGATCGTGGAGAATGGGCCAGGATTCCACCAACTATGAGTTGTGATTAAAGACGAGCTAGGCAGCCCCAGAAAGGTCCCTTGATTCGCTGCACTGGTCAAGATCTCGGTGTCGAGCCACTCAGAGCTGCCAGAACAGGGGAAGACATTGACGGTCTTGGCGACAGTCTTGGCGACAAGGGACTTGAAAGACCAAACAGTGCAGATATCAACGTCGTGAAGCCAGATTTGCGGTGCGACCTTTGTATCCCCTTGTTTCGCGAATAAGTGGAAATTTTGATGACCATCATTTCCTGTTTTTATTATTTGCTCGATGTCAAATGTCTGGAGAAGTATCCTTATCCCTGACTTGCTCAGAGAGATCACAGAGAGGCAGACCGACACTTTGTCCCTGCTACGCCAGGGGGCTTCCCGAAATCCAATTTGCGCTTAATCAAATCCCATGCGATTTGCGTTGCACATAAGGAAACGTAAATGCCGCTTGCTATGTCTATCAACGCCGATCAGGCGTGACATGTATGAGTTAGAATTCAAGCTTACTTTGAATAATCTCAAACCGCCGCGCAACTTGTCTTACTTGTGCGTCACTTTGAGGCGCAATCGCAATGCAGCGAGGGTATTGACGGGAAGGGACGCGCAAACGCAGATCTGTGTCAAAGGACATTCGTCGTCCGGATACACAGCAGCACCTTGCGTGCGCGTCTCTTGCAAAGTTGAACAGGGGATACTGCAGACAGTAGTGACGAAGTGAAGGCGATCACTGTCGGCAGATTGAAACCAACCCGGAGGCAATGGCACTGGTCGCAGCTTCTGAGGTCGAAACAAGACCGCTCAAAATACGTCGGTCTAAAACTTCACATGAGATAGCTCCGGATAGCGAACCGGGATTTTCGCATCATTGGAGGCTTGTTGACCGGATAAGCGCCGTTCAATGTCCGATATCAGAGCCGCAACGGCAGGCAAATTCTGGGCTGATTTTGACAACCGCGGTGTCGCGGATGAAAGGATATGTCTGATTGCGGCTCTTGGATGTCATACTGGCCAATCCCAGCCAGGATCCGGCACCATGGCAAGGCTAATGATTCGCATGCAAATGCAGTTGAAGTTGGAGGGGAGGGAAATTGACGGGTTGTTGATCAGTTACACTCAACTCCGGCTCCGTGGAAAATGCTCGCCGTCCTTCTCTTGATGGGAACTGCCGTCTCTCCCGAGCAACTCCAATCAAGGGCTTGAGGCGCTTATCCTGGTGGATTTTGATGCTGCCGTTGCCCTGAGTGGTAGCAGTGCAGCCGGCTATAGAGGACCGAGAGACCTATAATTAAATTTCCCAGGCTCCGTTTCATGCTATCAGGTCCAGCCTCTCCGTCGACTCAGGCGAGGCGACAGAGCGGGTACGCGTGGTGGTAGTTGCTAGCGCGGTATTGGTATTGTCCGCCGTTCATATCCCATAGAATTCCATTTATGCTTCAATTGAGTACCAGTGGAAGAAGCATAAGTTTAGTCCAATCGTGGGCTGTACTCTTCATCATCCCATCACAACTTCCTCAAATCGTAGGCTAATTTTATACAATATACCTTGCCTTTTGTGGAAACCTCTGGGATATAAACCCGCGGCTTGCGTGGGGCATTTTCGTAGCAACGCAGTGGCCCAGTCGGTCAGCTAAATTGGCTTTGAATGATGGCTGAAATTGGCTCAAAGGCACGCGAGCTGGCTGACATGCCGTAAGGGGTTGAAGGAGAAACTTGACATGGCATTCAGCCATTGCACCGCCAGTTGCTGACGCCAGGTTCGTTCCCTTTCGAGGCCGGGCGAGACAGGGCTGAGGAGAGGCGCGGGATTATTGACTGCTTGCGCCTTGTTCAGGAGATGGTAACGCTAATGATTTGATGAGGGCAGCAACACGAATGCTTCATGTGGAGATTCATGATACGTGGAAGATCGTCACAAAGGGTGAGCATTGAGCACGAGACACGGGTGCTCATCATGGAATTGACTGCTGTTCCTGATTGACTTCTCGATGATGTAACTGAATTATCTGATGAGCTGGAAGATTATGAGTCCCGTTGTGCAGCGTCACGATCGCTTTTTGAAAAGTCTTGGCTGTGACAGGGTCTCGGGCAGATGGTCGCTCTGGAATTGCATGGGGTTAAATCTGAGATGACGAGACAAGATCTCAACAAACACGTTTTGGAGACAGAAATTTCGGTGAATGTTTGTGGAGATGTGGGAGATGTAACAACGAGGTTGCAATAGTTCAGTTCATCACGCAAAGGTGTATAAGGAAAGTTCATGATGCATTTGCACCTTGTTCATGATGTTTGGAGATTTTGGCACTGGAGACAATGCGCTTACCCGATGCAGGTGAATGATGAGTGGGTGTCCGCTGTCGCACTTGAACTTGCACTTTAGAGCAGGACAGCGAACCGCTCGCTCCAAGGGACCCCAGGTGGGGAAAGAGAGGCCGGGACAAGGTGAGCAGGCCAATGAGAAAACACGAAAAACTGGCCGAATTGCTCGCCGAGGCTTCTCAGCAGGTACGGTACAACGTTGATTTGATGGCATCTGCATTGTCATTTGATTAGCGGGAGCTTGTCTTGAAGACTCAGGAGAGCAGTTGCATCACATAAGGTATGTACATATGTTTCTTCAGAAGCCAAAAGAAACATAAAAATAAACTATTATTAGGTCTCACGCTGTTGCTGTATGGTCGAGGCGCTGCAGCTCTAGAACCCAAAAGGCAGCTGCTGTCACCGAATGTATTGGTAGGTACTGTAAACAGGAGGCTCAGGGCAGGGCAGGGCTTTAGGATCGCCAGACTAAGCGACAAAAATAGTTAACTAGTTAGCATAAACTCAGGGGGCTCTTTGATGAGTTTATTTTGGCACCCTATCTCGAGGCCAGGGCAGACTCAGGAGCACTGGACCTCAGTAATGCAATCCAATGCAGATGCAGAGACAGAACCTGGAAAATTGGGGCACTTCGGTCATCGTGAAGGGAAAGACAGTTGGCCAAGCTTTTTCCATGGCTCACCCACGCATAATTTCCGTGTTGGCGCTTCTGCTCTACCTCGACTTGGCCTGTGAACTCCAAGCTGACAGTTCTCATAACCTTTGAAAGTACCTCGGGCTTTCCATCAAAAGAAACGCCTTTGCTATCTGGTCTTGCACCTACGTAGTTGAAGAATTCCGCACTCTTGTCGCACCCCTAACTGGGCTGCATCTTTCTGGGTAAAAGGCGATTCCAGTCACCCACTGGGTCGCATAAGATGTGGATTTTTAGTAGATAAATCACGCACTGTGCTTATATGTACGTATTTTACTAGGCCCGACGGAGCAAAATGGACCAGTCAAGTTTCGTTTATCTATCCAAGGGTTCCATGGACGGGATTAATAAACCAGAGGACACTTGTTGATTGCTGCTTTTCTCTTGATGAAGCAAGCAGTTGATGGTCTTGATAACTCAGTATCAGTTCTCGGTCTCTTTCTCCGTATCCCGATCTCCAAAACTTATACCCCCACTCACACATGAACCATTTTTCTCTACCCCAACCCAAGCAGAGTTACCTGCATGTCAATCATTGCATCCAATACAGAATCAGTGAAAATTTTGGCTTTGTGTATCTGTACGTACACTCGATACTGTACGTGCATATCGCTGAAGCACTCAGACGAGTAAGAGTGAGAATGAGAATGAGAATGAGAATGAGAGTATGCGCACGCCCCTCCCCATGGCGCATCCACATCCACATCCTGACCCTTGTCGATGTTCCCCACGTCGACTTGTGGTCTGTGATCCACCTCGAAGCTTTGCCAAAGTAAGAGTGGAGGGTTCCTTAGTTCGGTTTGGCTCTGGTGGGCTGGGAATAGACTGGTGAAGGGACCGAATTGATCGACTGCACCGAGTAAGTAATAGTGTAGCAGCTTCATAACTTGTACGGACACAAAAGACAAGCTGCGCGCTTTTTTCTGCTCGTCTTCTTGCTTCAGCTTTCCTTTCCCCTTAAACATTTAAACATCTTCTTTCCCTTACTTTTATATCCTAAAAGGGAAGACTTGTCGATCGTGCTGCTCATTTGCTTCACTCTCACGGTTATAATCACCCGGCTACTACTTTTGATGCCGCCCCCTCCTCGTCTTCTTATTCTCCTACGACCAAGTCGACGTCCCATGTCGTTTCTCTAGCATCCCATTCAACAATCGTGGGAGATCATACAACGGATAACAGCGTGGTTGAAGACAAAAGAGAACAGTCATCGTTCAATTGAAGACCGAAAAACGGACATCGAACCCCGTTTGAACGCATCGACATTCGACAAGCATTCTAGGCTTACACTGGCACGAGATCTTGATCAACGCAGTCAAACGCCCCGGCATAATCGACCGTTCACAATATATCAGTTGTCAAGTTTTGAAAAAGGCACCATACGCTCAAACGCAACACCTTTTTCTTAATCACGGTATTCTACAGCAACCTCGTGGCTATTCCTCTGGGTCAAAGTCTGCTGCCAAGATCGCAAATCTTGGATACCATTTCGCCGCAACGATTCGGTAGTGCCGTCAAAAGCGTTTCTCGCATTTTGCCGACGAACCAACCACAAACGCCATTCGCCCAGCGACAGAAGCACAACACAGCACTCTAGTCGCTGAACCGTCTCCATCACTCAACTGACCCCAAATCCTTGGATGGTGTGTGGCTCTGACTTACAACTCTTGGTCCCTCGCTGCTGTTAGTGACCAGCTGCCCTCCCCCAACCGACAGCACTTGCTCTGTACTTTAGGCGCCGCCTGTACACCGAAGCTCTGTACCCCCCTCTATTTGACACCGTCGCCATTCACTGCAAGCCCGTCCGAGATAAAAACAGCAGAAGCGCCCTCAAGGCTCAATCTCGCTATTTCTCAGCACCAGACTTCCAAAAAGATGGGCATTATGGCGGCACTCTCGGCCCCAAGGGCCATGGTAGCACCCCACCAGCACCAACCACAGGGACCCTCCACCCTCGTCACAGGTATGGACATCCAATTCTCTTACTGTCGTTTGTCTCTGTAATCAATGGAACTGTTTCTCTCCTTGATTTGCCTCTTTCTATCCTCCCCCAAACCCATCTGGGCAAACATTACCCGTCCATTCGCCCGTTTTAATTCAAGCCTATTCCTGTTTCTATCCCCCCCTCGTGTTCATGTCTTGGGTTTCTCTTTGATGAGCAGCAACTCATTTCATTGTTTCTCCGCTTTTGTTTTTCTCATGTTCATTTCGTCATTCCCACGTCCACCGGAAGCGAGAAGTCTCTCCATCTCCGTGGACCCTGCGCCGCGGACCAAGCTGCAAGTTGAGTAGTGACGCGATAAACGTGGGACCTGCAACTGAGCCTAGACTTGGCTGAATCAAATCGGCTTTGAGCGACGGCTTTTGTAAGTGGGCTTGCACTTTTTACTTTGTTCTTTGCTGAGAAAGCAAAGGCAAAAAAAAGAACAAAGTAAACAGCAGCAATTGGATGGATGCAACCAGAAAGTTGGGCTCTTTCGGACATTCGCTATTTGTTTATTTCCATCACAATTTTCCCCATTATAATTCCGTTAATGTCACTTGTCACTTGTCATTGTCACCGTCACGTCCCTCGCTGTGCCTTGTTGGGCTGAGGCTAGACTTTACAAATTCATGACATTTGCTGAGCCTTGGCATACTTTGAGGGTCTTGGTCCAGTTTATTTATTTTACTGCATGATCACTCGTTCTTCTTCCCTCTTACTCACAACTCACGTTCCATTCTATTTCTGCCTCATGCACCCCCCGGTTGATCCCTAGTTCCCCTAGTCTTGCTCCATGTCAACCCGAACCCTGCAACTGCAACTTCTCCAACATCAAGATCAAGTCATCCCTGCCTGCTGACGTCTTTTTGCTTGCTCCCGCCACAGATAAAAGTACCTCATCCTCTACCTTTCGCCCAAACCAGTTTCAGTCCCTATCGTCGCCTCGCGAATATAGTACCGACCTTACTGAATCAATTGTCCTAGAAGAAGGTGGTGAATCTGGAAGCGAATCCGCCGTTGAACCCGTCACACCTGTTAGTGGTCGCCAGTCCCAGGACTTCACCCTTCAGAGCCAGGACCTGCAGGACCTCCAAAATCTGCAGTCTTACCAGACGGCTTCAGCCACATCTTCAGGAGTTGTACCTATCGCGATCCCCAACTCAGGAAACACCAACAAAGGAACATATATATCACAATCCGTTAATAACAGCCGACCTCCTACTACTTACGAACCAAGTACTCCAAGAGCAACAGAACCTGAGCCAGGCAGTTCTCTCACCCGTCAATCAACTCGAGGTTCCATCTCCACCTCGAGTTTCAAGCGCACCATGTCGAGCTTCTTCCGCCGATCAAATTCCCACGTTAAAAACGATTATATACCCTCGGAATCTGCAACACCCTCGGTCGTGTCCGCACCAACGGAACCCCAAACAAATGGCCAACCACGTGCTGCAGCTCGCCGTCGTTTCTCCATGAACCGCTCCTCTGCCACTACTCGTTCCAACTCGCCCCCTTCGCCTAGCGACAATGGATTGGAAATGGCTCCCGCGCATTGCGAAAGTGCCTCTGACAAGTCTCTTCCCAGTCAAGGAGACTTCAAGAAGAACCGTGCATCGACTGGTCTGACTCTGCGCGGCCGAGCTATTAACTTCGTTGGCGCTCATAACACCAACAACCGAGGAACCGGGCACAAGCGTCCTGAATTCACGCGCAGAGCTAGCAGCTATGACAGTAGCCGACCTAACACCCCTCTCCCACCTCCTGCGGAAGGCGACGAAACAATGTACCCACCTGAACGAAGTGTCTGGCCTCTTCCCCCTGACTCCGGTACTGGTGCCAAGGCTCGACGCATGAGTTTGAGCCTTCCTGACGATTTCGCCGTGGACGTAGCTGAGCTTCAGAACGAATTCGAATACCAGCGCAAATTCCTTGGTCGTCATGGCAAGCATCTTGGCAAGGGTGCTGCTTCCAAGGTTACCCTCATGATGCGAAAAGGCTACCCAGAAGAGCTCTACGCCGTCAAGGAGTTCCGTGGCAAATCGCACCGGGAAAGCCAGCAGGACTACGAGAACAAGATTAAGTCAGAATTCAGCATTGCGAAGAGTTTACATCATCCCAACATTGTCGAGACTTTCCGTCTATGTACCGACCACGGACGATGGAACCACGTCATGGAATACTGCTCGGAAGGCGATCTTTTCAGCTTGGTCTCCAAGGGCCATCTCAAGGGTGACGATCGCAAGAAGGACCGCCTGTGTCTCTTCAAGCAGCTCATTCAAGGTGTCCATTACTTGCATGCCAATGGCATTGCCCATCGTGACATCAAGCTTGAGAATCTTCTGATCACCAAGGACAGCAAGCTCAAGATTACCGATTTTGGTGTATCGGAAGTTTTCTGTGGTACTCACCCCGGTCTTCGTGAAGCTGGCGGACAGTGCGGCCGTAACATGAGCGGCGAGATCCGCCTCTGCTCACCTGGTATCTGTGGAAGTGAGCCCTACATCGCCCCCGAGGTCCTCGCCAAGAAGCAAAACTACGACCCCCGAGCACTCGATGTGTGGAGTTCTGCGATTGTCATGATCTATCTCACCTTTGGTGGCGCCATCTGGTCCCGCGCTGTCCCAGGAGAGCTCCATTATGACAAGCTTGTCAAGGGCTGGGAAACATGGTACGGGAAGCACCCTGAGTGCGACGCCACTATCTCCGATACGGATTACCCCAAATGCTACGCCCTCGACGTGGGCATGTCCCCACCTGCTCTCCGTCGTCTTGTGCTACAGATGTTGAACCCTGATCCGCAAAAGCGTATCAGTATCGAGGACGTCATCCACAACCGCTGGTTGAAGAACGTCGAGTGCTGCCAGGTGGAATCCTACGATGACCCCGCTCTTCTCATCGATGCGACCAAGAAGGACAACACAACCAACGGCAACAAAAAGATCTTTTGCCATAACCATCTACCCCCGAAGGGCACTGGCTCCCACTCACTGGGCAAGATGCCAGGCCAGCCGGGCTACTAGACGACCTAATGACTGATGGAACGACATTTGAAATGTCGTACAAACACTAAACAACCATTTCTTTGATACTAAGAGCACCATTGGATTGTGCGCCTTATAACTTTTGCATTCACCTATATTGGCGTTGGGGTCAAGCTGGCCATGGATGAGCGGCTAGGCCTGCATGGTTTGGAGTTGGTGAATTTCGGTCGCTTCTTTTCTTTTGCACTCCAACCTGTACATAGTATACACCCTTTTCCCTGTTTCCGTCGGACGACGACGCACTACAGTCGACGAGGATGGGGGATGTCTTACAAGCAAGCAGACATAATACCCCCGAAGAAACAGTCTCTTGCTCTTTTGGAATCTGGTGGATAATGGATATTTAACACGCCATTGGCCTGCGGATGGACAGAAAAGTCGGGTAGAAGGATGACCATGGGGGTTTATCAATCCACCCGTTTTACTCTTTTCTATGAGTTTTTGGATTCAAAGATGCGCGCGACCCCTTGAAGATTGCTTATTCTACAAGTATCACTTACATATACGTACGTATGTATATATGGGCTTGCTGCTCTGGTGCTCTTGTGCCATTGCTACCAGTCTTTTCTGCGAACTAGCACAAGAGACTTGCGTTCTTTGTTTATTCAATTATTGTTACTTCTGCCTCCGTTCCTGTTTGGGTATCCATAAAAGAAGGGCCGTCTTCGGGACCACTTGGTGTTGTGGCCGTGATATTTGACGTCTTTATCAGGTGCTTTGACCTTTTAACATAGCGGTTATCAATCGCCTGACGATTGAGTAAGAGCATTATCTAGATTTACAAGGATTGAAACGAGATCTATTTTACTAGAAGGACGATGGAAGCATTCCACTTGTTGGTATCGTAGCACGTTATATCACATGTCATTGCTGCAAGAATGATGTTTATTTACTCGAGTGTCTATTTACCCGGCATTTTGGGACAGAAGAATACACTCCTCTGTGGCGTGTACGGATGCGCCGATGCTGTGGGCTGGGATTTTTTCGGTGATACATATCCAGAAGCAACAGAAAGCATCCCACGCGATATGCACGCATGTCTCACCACGATGATGATTATACTGTATTAGCCATAACCAAAGTGAAGTCGGGCTGAGCGATATATTGACTTGGATATGATGCTGGAGCGGTCTCACCGCTGATCAATAGTAGCAGTGAAAGTGGAAATGTCACAGGATCTCATTGGACTTGGACACAAAGTGAGGCTTTGCGATGACGCTGAGTATTGGAGAGGAGTGTGATGCTTTCAGAGCATGTGAATGAGAGAAGGGCGTGACGCTGATACGCCCTCACGATATCCCTCACCGGTCGTCGTGGGTTTCCACTGAGTTGCACTGGTGTTGGGTGTCTGTTCCGGTTACCTGGCTAGGGCTGAAGTTGTCATCAACACGAAGGTTCTGGACAAAGTTGAGACACAGTGTCAACCCCCCACGTGGTTAAGAGGATTTGACGGAACAAAGAGAGTCTCACGACCAATGTCTGGTTCACAAGCTCTGGCTTCAGATCACATTACTCTCTTTGGAGCGGTTCTACATGCATGATCCGCGTGACCGGTCATGCTTAACACTTACTCCGGTACACAACTCATGCAGCATCGCGGAAATAACATGCCGAGCGAAACATAAGAAGAACTGAGGCTGATCAAGCGCGACTACCGCGCTGCACGAGGGAGAGCTGGCACACCGAAAGAAGCCTCCTCGGATATCAGTGCCGAGAAGAAGGAGGGCTGATTCGTGCCCGCATTGGAGATTTCGTGGGGGTGAAGGTGTTTTTTCTTTTGTTTGTGCTACCAGCGGGGAAGTTGTGATTGTTGGGATATTGGAGAATGGAAGTGTCTTCCCCAGATGTAACACGAGAACCCTGGGGAAAGAGGCTGGCTGAGGGATGGGGAGTGAGAATAGATAGATAGTTTTGTGAAGGAGTCAAGGTTTGAGGGTTGATTTGGTGGACGGTTACTTTTTGAAGTCTGAGCTTGATGGCGGGGAAGAAAAATAAACTTGCCGTGCCGTGCCGTCAATTGTAGGAATGCGAAAATGATAGTGCTCACCTTTTCTGTAAGCTTAAAATTGAATGATACCTGATATACTTTGATAATATGAACTTCCCTTGTTTATGAGTCCTTTCGGTAGCCAAGAGCTTCAAGTGCCGATATGAACGGCACTTAATGTGGAGCTCGGCCGACGGTGGGTCCGCTTCGTCCCGGAGCTTGTAGAGGCAGGGAGATAGCTGTCTTCTCCGCGGAGTCCGCTCATCGGACATTCGTCCAAAGATGATCTAGGAACTTTCCAATAAATCATTACTATACAGTAAATAAGTCTTTATCTCGTCTCAACATATATCCACCATCTGCCCCGTGTTCTATTCCTGAAACTATCGCCGAAATATCGGAAGTCCGCTACAACCCGGCTCCGGTTCCTTAATTAAACCTTATTAGGATCTAAGCTTAGTGCGCCCAGTTAAAGTTTCTCTGGCTTCTGGAAAACGTTTCAGATACACCGTCAACTGCCCAGATTTAATAATTCCTCCAATGGTTGATATAAATTTACGGGTGGAATAACCGACTTTCATTCCCAAAGTGGGATGTCTTCTTCAACTGCCGCGTACACAAGATTACAAACATGGCCTGAAACGGAGCACCTACCGAATTACCCGATCTGAAAAGGGTTCTTGTCAAGATGTATATTAAGACGCTGTTGCATCGTAATCATATGGTTCTGTAGCATTTTGTCTTCAAGTTACTACTGGCTAGTATTCATTCATTTCTTTGTATTTCATTCATTCATTTATCAATCGTATATATCGTCCCTCGTTCACCATGCGTGCCGCTGCATTCATCACTCTTCTCGCCTCCGTGGTCTCTGCCACTCCCTTCGGCCAACGCTCTCAAGTTCTCGCCAGAGCAAGCGAGACTTGCCCCGTCGTCTTCGATGGTCGAGTTCCCGCCAATGCCTCTCTGACCGACTTTGACAAGGAGAATGGCGGCGGCTGGAACCCTTACAACCCCGGCTTCGTCAAGGGAAACAACATCTCCTGGTCCGAGATTCTTCAGCTCCCCAAGACCAAGACTCAGTCGCGCTTCGATACTGAGGCTGGTACCATCCCTCTTGAGGTCACTATCAGCGATAAGAGTATATTCATGAAGCAGCTTGGCTTCAGACGTGCTGGTCTGCAGTTCAACAAGGATAGCAATGAGGGTAGCCCTGGATCTAAGGGTGTTAAGACTCTGCACTTTAGCATCCTACAGGATGACAAGCGCCCTCTTAACCTCAGCCATGAGTACCTCGTGAGTATATCCCGTACTACTATTGAGGTTGTTGATGCTAACAAGGATAGAACGTCTGGCACGAGAAGTCCGATTTCTCTGGCAACCAGTTCCAGTTCCAGGCCGGCCAACTCATCGGACAGAACGGCACTGCCGCTACCTGGAAGCTTCTCGACCAGGACTTCAAGCTTCTCTGGGAGACTCCTATGCTCAAGAAGGTTTGGCAGAACTTTGCCATCACTCTCAACTACGAGAAGAAGTAAGTTCCTACCAACACCACGGCACAAAGAGCATAGCTAACGATCACAGCACTATCCAAGCCTATTACTCCAAGGGATGCAAGCCTCTCAAGGTTGCTACTCAGCCTATCGCCCGCAACTTGACCGGTCAGGGACAGTTCCAGATTGGTATCCTCAAGAAGCCTACTGGTACCGATGATGTTGCCAACTCTGGATTCCAGGAGGCCAACTTGAACGAGGGACTCATTTACGGTGGTATCTTCCTTGAGGACAGCGCGGATGGGTGTATTTCTCTCTAAGTTCTTGCTTGACATGGACGCTGTAGATGTTGTCTAATAATGGTCTAGTTCTAGACTCTACGACATTACGTACCTATCGGCTTCTAGAGGAATGTACCAAAATACCTTACCTTGTTTTATAATCTTCATTGTGGTGCATGATGTGTTTTTCTCGGCTGTTGTCGAAACCTTTGAATTGATGCGCCTGTTCGCGCGAAATTGTATTCGAGGATCAATATGATTGGTTTTGTGGTAAAATTGAGTGAGATAAATCTCTTGTAACAATCGCATGTATGGTTGGTAGCTGTAACATGGTCTGATCCGTCTTCATTCTTGAAAATTCCATGTCACGTGTTGCCCCAAGTTGAAGCTTTACGCAACTTTTCGAACTCTCGCCATCAGAGAGTTAGGAGCTCTTGCCCAGTTCCCACGAAAATGGCACCTTTTTCCTTGTGTCAACTGTCAAACGCGAGCCGCAGAATCTCCTTGAACCTTTTGCGTCAACATCGAAACACGCTCGCGGTTTCGACACGACAACTACGCCCAATTCGTCTCTCTCTACAGCAGCCCAGATTTCTTCACACCAGCGACGACGCGAAGCCAGACCAATCGAATAGCGATAAAATCGCTAAGGACGAGATAAAGATTGATGGTTCTCTCGAGACAAGCGACAATGCGAAGGCAGAAGAATCAACACAGATCAATAGCGATATTGCTGCCGAGGAGGGTATAAAAGCCTACAGCTCTCTCGAGACCAGCGACGAAGCGAAGCCAATCGTAGACCAGTCGGCCCAAATCAGCAGCGATACCGTTACCAAGAATGATATTGGAGCTGATAGCTCTATCGAGACGAGCGAAGATGCAGAGGCGGACCAAACAACCCAGATCACTAGCGATATTGTTGCCGAGCATGATATAAGCGTCAACAGTGCTTTGGAGGCGAGCGACGAATCGAAGCCAATTGAAGAGCAATCGATTCACATCAACAGCGATGGAGATGCCAAGGATGATATTGAAGCTGATAGCTCTATCGAGACGAGCAACGATACAGAGACAAAACAATCAACCCAGATCAATGGTGAGGTCGCTGTTGATGTTGAGATAAAAGTCGACAGTTCTCTTGAGACTAGCGACAATATAAACCTAATCGAAGACCAATCGACCCAGATTAATAGCGATGTCGCTGCTGAGGATGGTACCAGACCCGACAGTTCCCACGACACAAGTGATGGTGTAGCGCCTATCGAAAACGGCGCGACTCAAACAAACAACAATGTTGCCATCAATGATGGCACCACAGTTGATGCTTCCCTTGAGACGAGCGTTAGTGCGACGCCCGCTGAAGCAGAGTCAATTCAAAGCAACAGCGACATCTCCACTGATGCCGGTGCTGCAGCTGACAGTTCTGTCGAGACGAACGATAATCATGTGCCTGTCGCAGACGACTCGGTTGAAAGCAACGACGATACTCCTAGAGAGCAAGACATCGGTGACAGTGATGCCCCGACCAGGGACCTTCCTACCTTTTCCTCAGATCCAAAAGATGAGCCTAAAATCAAGGGAAGGCCATGGACCGAGGAGGAATTGGCCCAGCTCGAGGAGTTCATCAAACGACCAATAATCAGCCTGAATTACATCGCAATTCGGATGGACCGAAGTGTTCCCAGTGTCATGTCCCAGCTCAGTCAGATTGAAAGGCGTCGGGGAATCAGCATTTTGGACCGAACTCGTCCTGAGACTCCATGGCAACATCCAATGGATGCCACCCCAGAGCAAGTCGCAATATTCGAAGCGAAGCAAGATGAGATGCAACAACGTATGGAACACATCGTAGAAACACTCATGACCTTGCCAAAGAGCGACCAGTGGGAAGAAATTCTCAAGTTGAAATCTGCCTCAGAATGGGCATCAGCGATATTGAAACTAATACCACTGCGAACCTGGCACATCTTGGCCGCCGACCGGCCGCCAGGTTACAAGCAATACATGACCATTCCATTCATTGATCGGTATAAAACGATTGGCGTGTTCGCCCGAACCTACCGGCGCACCGTATACATAGGCTTAGCTGAGCAACCATTTGGCATGATGGTGCCGCATGATTCCAAGAATCCCGAGCAACAAGACCCAACAAAGAAGAAGCCCCACAGAGTAAACAAGAACGATTCCAAGGGGTCGGTCGTCCCGTTGATCCCAGTGTCTTTATTAGACTCTAAGAGGTTAACTTACAAGGAAAAGGTTGAGCAGAAGTATGTACTTGGACTTGCAAGGGCAGCGCTCACCGCATGGCTTGGGGCACTTCACAGAAACGGTCCTCTTGAATTCCGCCAACTGTACGCATGGAAGGATATAGATTGGAGTGGCCCTATTGGTATGGGTCCTTGTAACCCCCTCGAGTACAGAATCCGTCTTCCGTTGACGCCAGCGGAAAGTGCTGCCAGAAAGGCTAGTAAAGAGGCAGCATGGAAACGGGAGGCAGAGGAGGCAAGGAGGTCAGAGGAGTCATGGGGGTCAGAGGAGCCATGGGAGTCAGGGAGACCAAACGCCTTTGAGAAGTGGGCTACTGATGCTGCAAAAAAACCTAAGGATCCATATAGGGGTCATCTGTAGAAAAGTGTATGATTTGCTAGTCAAGAGCCAGTCGATAGGCTGTGTATGAATAGAGAAAGTGAAGCCTGTCATGACCTCCTATGTCTCTTCCTGATCTCCATGACAACTCAACAGAACTGAGACCCGATTCCACAGAGACTGAATGATGGGCGAGGTGGTGGGATTTCTGGTGAAGATCGGGGTATGGTTTTTACATGATAGTCATCATTCCGAGGATCTAAATCACAAATGATTGACAAGTCATCGAGCATGGAAGAGCTGCGCTCATATTTTGCCCTCGGGATTGGTCAGTGTATGAGAATTGAAGAGTCTTCCAACTTACTTTGTGATCGGGCCTCCAAGAAGTCGTGATATTACTTCCATATTTGCAGTAAGTTTTAGGCGTAAATGTTCCAAGCGAGGTAAGAATACGGGGTGAAGTTATCTCTTGAATATCACTTTGGAATCGGTTATTTCATAAAGATCATGGTTACTCTAGAGTCATCCATCACAATTGAGTCGCAATGTGTATATGGCACACATTGAGAGCTGAACACAAGCTTACGACTTCGATATTCTGTGGTTGCTAATGATGCTCTAGGTCGTATTCTGGCGCAGCACAGCAGAGAGTAGTGATATGCGTTATATAAGGAGCAGCCAGTAGATATCCGTTCTTTTATGCAAGCATACACAATTGTGTTTATTGTCGTCTCACGCAAGCAGAACCTATCAAGAGTCAGGAACTGTGCGAAGCTCGTATTCTTTGTCCGTCAAGTCTCCTCTGGCTTGTCTCCGCGTTTTGTATAACTTTGACAGAGCCCCCCTCTCTCTTCCTGTACCTACACATCGTCACTTCAGAGGGACTACACCTCGACATCCATAACAGTGTTTCTCGTCATGAGCTGCAATGACGGCCAAATGGTGGTGACTCCCGTTTGGGACAGCCCACGTACCCGTCCACGTTATGTGTTGGATGTCTCGAGTTCTCCGCTTGAGATCTCGCGCAAGTATCCCGAAGAGCCTGAACGAAAAGTTGACGACAATGACTTCTGTCCTCTGCACATACCGACCAGGGAGAATGACGGAGCAAAGGATACCAACGCCGTGGACTTGAATCATGAACAAGCAAGGAGCACGGGGCAGAATGGATCTGCAAAGGATAAAGCGAAGAGAATGCCTCGAGATATGCGTTCCCATAACATGCATAGCAAAGCCAGGCTTCAGGTGGATATGCAACGTTATCTTGGGCGAAAAGAATTCATCAGCAATGAATACTTAGGTCAGAGCGTTGATGATATACCAGGCAACAAACCCTCACCATACTCTATCATGCCAAAGGAGTCACCGGTCTCGCTCAGCTCGAATGCCTGCCTATCTACAACATTGAGATTAGGTGAGCCGATCCACATCAAACCATCAAACGTCCATGTCGATTCCAAGACTCACAACTCGGCGACATCGCTTTACGATAATGTCGTACCCCCGGGAGATATTACACTCTTAACACCCCCAACAATTATTCTGAGCTCTCACGGTTCCAACTTTAGTGGCAGGGTCGAGCCTTTTCTGGGGAAATTGGGAGCATATCATTCCATGGACGAACACAATGTCATTGGGCTTGCTAAAGAGTATCATTTGCCTTCAAAGCCCACTTACAGAGCAGAGCTCGCAAATACTTCTTCTCAAGGGCACGAAAGTACCTTTGGTACAACGCCGGATGGCGAGAAGATATCAACAGAAGATTGTACGAGTTCATGCGACCTTGATGTCTCGGATAGCAATAGCTCTGATGGGACAACCCCTATTCAAGCCGTCGAGGTTAAGAGCCATGCTATTACAAAGCTACAACAGCGCAATGTGGCTAAAGCCAACACGAATATGGCAAGGCCTCGCCAGATTGGACTGGCAAGAGTGAGAACTGAGATACTCTCAATAGCTGGAACGCGACGGGCACAGCGGCTAAGCAAAAGCTCCAAATCTTCAGATAACGCATCAGAAGAAGCTATACAAGATGAGCCAGAGGAATCAGTATTGGAACAGTCTAAGGAACAGCAGGCTGAGTGGAGGCCTCCGAACAGCTGCGATTATGTCCCCTCTACACAAGCATCTGGCGGAAATAGAGATGCCTCCTCGTCTACGAACCCAAACAGAGACCAGCGTGGCGACCCAGATGACGGAAATTACGACACAAATGAAGAGAACACTGCCCAGACCCAGAACAGCCTTTCCGGACCGATAAGGAGCCAAAGTTCCCAAAGATTTGCATGTCCTTACCAAGCATTCGAGCAATTCCAAGGTTGCTTTAGACCTGGGCCTCGAAATCCGAATGGGGGATGTACCAGTATCCAACGTTTGAAGTAAGTCGGTTGTAAATACGGGCATGCTCAAAATAATACTAACTCGTGAGTAGACAACACTTATACCGTAGGCATATGCGGTCATATCGCTGCACCAGATGCTGGCAATCGTTTGAAAAGAAAGAGAGATTGGAAGCCCATGCTTCCCAAGCGGCATCTTGTGCATCGAAGGATATATCATCAAGCGAAAGATTTATGAGGCCCGAAGACGAGACAGCAGTTGGCAAGTTGGGCTGCTTTGGTTCTCCAGAAGAAGCGTGGTGGAAAATGTTTCAACTCCTTATTCCTGGTGCTCAGGACAAAGAGTTGGGATTTTTGAAGATTCAGTATTACCCTTGTGAGTCTCTGTCACTCGAACTATCATTAAAGCTCACCAGTTCCGACTATTCAGATTACGTCTGCACCGACTCCTTCGATGTCCCCTCCATGAGCTTTTCAAACGTGTCTTTCGAGCTGGACCAGCCTGATGTTCCAGCTGAGACATTACAAGAAGGGTGTGTATTTCATGTCATCTTTCTAGCAAACTTTTCCCAAATTTCCTATGGTCAAGACTGAAATCTTGCCGTACGAGCAGTTCAACATTCGTGAATGGCGTTCCGCAGACTGCAATGCCAGATATGAACCAAGGAACCTTTTTATACAATATGCCTTCATACACAGCTCACTTACCTCTGTTGAGTTCAACCATTGCGAATGAATTGCATTGAGAAGACCGTTACTTGCAGAAATCGGCTCCATCGTCTGTGGCTCCATCACAAAGCCTTGGTTTCGGTTCGCCAGCTTCAACACAGACGCGGCACCCCTCGCAAGATTCGGAATCTGTAGATTCAAGCCGAGAGCAGAGACTTATGCGCCATATCCAGATGCTTAGAGAGAAGTATTCAGAGGCAGAAACACAGATCACATCCTTGCAGGAAACCACTCGCAACACACTGACTCAAATTATTAGGGCTGATGAGGTTATCGAAAACCTCTTGGCTCCCGACAAAGGTCTCCCGAGTCATATCTACGAAAGTCTGTTCGAGGTTTCGACTATTCTCTCGAACATTAGGAGGGGCTTGAGATGATTAACTGACTAGCTTGCTGGAAAATGAATGCTTTCTAACGTTGCTATCTAGTTGGCTCTTTGGGACTTGCAGACGATATCGTGGACGGAATTGAGGCTATGTTCTTCGAGGACGGGTGCTTGGTTTTGGCCTTTCGAGAGCCTGCTAGATTGGAGCAAAGAAGTTCCTCATGCCAAAGCTCTTCCTTTCCATATAATCGCCGCTTCTCTCTCTTTCGTCTTTGATCCTCCAAAACAGGCTTCCGTCGTAACAGGCTCGCAGGTCATCCTTTTTCACAAGACCATCCTCTTGGAGAAGCACATATGTTGTCCACCACTCCATGAAGGCAAAGGTCCAACCAGCCGGGTCGGCCGCACAGCGATCTTTTGCCCATAGTCTCCATAGATCATCAGCAGTCAAACCCCCTTCACCTGAGGTGTCGAACCGCTGAAACATCTGCTCAAATCTCTCAGGGCTGAAGTTTCCATCAAAATCGAAGATGCCTGTGTCGGAGCCATGTTTGGCCTTGTGGATATCATTGACATAGATGCGGAACAGGGGGTCAGGCAGCCAACTGTGACCTAGCCGTGTTGGATATGAAAAGAAGATGGGAATCAGAAGAGATCCTATTGAGAAGAAGAGGCCGAAACCGAGCTCGCGGAAGCCGTTGTAGACGTCCCATGGATGTATGATACCGTCATTGTCGCGGTCCCAGAATTGAACGTGTTTCTGGAGAGGGCTGAGCTTTTCAGAATGATCTGAGCATACTTTGGCGTATGTACTTTTGCTGAGATGGCTATCGACGTCGTTGGGTGTAGGCTGTGAGATGCCGCTGTGGTTCTCGGCCATATTGGCATTGGCACTTTTATTTCCAATCGAAGAAGCGAATAAACCAATTTTAACAGTGGAGTTGGCTCTACTATTGATGTAAAAGGAAAGATATTGCTGTCTCATTGTCATTATGCTGTGGCTAGCCTTGAGACACCGTTTACGAGCAATTGACGTAATTGCAACACGCACATCTCAAGGCTTCTAACATGTGATTCTACCCGATTCTGATATCAATGATGCGCTGATAATAATAGAAACATATGTGATCTGACGCCAAGAATAGTCGCGTATTTTTGAATTGTGAGAACTGGAGACATCCTCTTACTACCCGCGATGAGTATATGGGAAGTCTATATTCCCTCTCATCTTGACTTGCTGGATAAGGTTGTTCTTACACGGCGGTTTAATTATCTGGTAGGATTGCAAAGTGAAAACGTGAAGAAGTGGAGGAAGAAATGGATATCATCACGACTACATTCATTCACCTTTCGCCATCCACCTCATCTATCCTACCTCTAACAGAAGTCACAGACGTCAGCAACACTGAATACACTCCTTTTTCAGCTCCAGGCTAAACGCGAACAATTTAAAACTACGCTATACAACGCTCATAAACATGTACAAACAGTACAAGACCAACTTGCCCAAGAAACATATCAACATCAAGAACAATCTCCAGAAGAGCCGCCGCCTGCCTTGCAAGCAGCCGAGGAAAGTGCTTCACAAGATCGTTCACGCTACACCCTGTCATACAAAAACCGCTATACTTGGGCCTCTTTGGGCAGGATCGTCAATAACTTCCATAGGTTAGGGAAATATCAGCATAAGGCTTAGGATCGCGATGAATATAACTTAGGCTAGACTTGTATAAACTCGTCACTCGAAGTGATCAAAATACAGAATTCTTAGCCCCCCCGAATTCTCTCTCTGCCAGCGGTCATCTCAGGTCCATGATCAAAGAGGCCAGTCAGAGAACTCTTCATTGAATTTTAGAAAATAGTGGTGGTTTGTTTTTATTAATAGTCAATCATTACATATCTAACGGCCAAATCAAGTTAATTGCGCATCATCAGCATTATCTCTGGTGGGAGACTTCCTTTCCACTGAATACTCTCCCACTCCAAAGAGTCCTCCTCATACTCTGGCTTCGATAAATAGAATTCTCCCAAGATGTGCTTCCCTTCATCCAGGTATCTGCTACCGAGATAAAAGTATGATGGATCGGTCACAGACAGAACCTCTTTCGCGTGATCGAAGCGAAATCTCCCAACACATGCCTGGCTTCCATCTTCATAATGAAACAACAAGCCGGATATTGATCTGCTCCCTTTCTGTGATTGTTCTCTGCAGATCTGAACCTCTTTAACAGCATCAAGCGAGACTTCTGAGGTCTCAACTGGATCTGTTTCGGATTCGGGGATAAGTCCTGCTGGTAAGGGATCCTTGTCACTTGCTTCTACAGTTGGCGATGCGAATAAAGAAATGCCTTCCAAACGAGGGCTGAAGTACACTCGCATTGGAGTGCCCGTTGATTCTTTGGCTATGCATTTCCATTCGCTGTGCGGTGAGCTGCTTCTTCCTATGGTAAGTGTTCGTGACTGATTAGTGACCAGCTAATACGAGTCAGCTTCAAGCTTCAGGGGGGTACGGTGTGTCGAGTCTTACCATTACCGCAGTATCTGATGTCTCTGATCGTCTCTCATCTTCAGATGTGTCCTTTTCGTCTGATTCCTTTTTTGTGCGTAGCCAGACTTGTTCAACACGTTCTCCGGAACTCAACGGATGGTAAGTCCAATGAGGGGCTGAACTTGTGGTCGAATCATCTGACTTTTCCTTAGGCAACTTGTGCTTCGCCATTTCGTCCAGCTCACGATAAAATTCATAGGACTCTCCAGTTTTGTGCATATGAAGATCGACCAGCTGACCCTTATACCAACAAGCAGAATATCCCGTGATCTCAGGCTCATTGAACTCTAAAGCCACCATGCGAGCTTCTATAGTCATACCAAGGCTTGAAGATGAATCGTTGATGACGTGGTAAGCCATATTGTTCAGTGCAGCTGGGGCCATGGGATATGGCCAGCAGATAGTGGGATTCAACGGAGCAGCTGCGAAGCTACGCAGCTTGAGGCCCTGCCTTGACGTTAGAACGGCAACTGATGATAAAAGGTACAAAACTTACATCGTCAGAGAATGAGAGGGCTTTGCTGGTGATCGGGAGTGTACGCCACCAGCCTGAGTTACCTTGTTCCGTCGTAACAGCTGCAGCATCATTAACGATCTGACGAATACCGAAATAATCTTCTGATATGAAAAGAAAGTTCTCTTCCTGATCCTTGGAGTCTCTCCAGAGTAATCGACTTCCTGGCTGTGGCGTATTCGACAAAGAAGCTATATACTCAGTTCCATCCAGATTAAAGTGAGTGGCCCACACATCCTTCAATGGCTCAATCGTGCATTGGCTCGACTGAGAGGCATGAGATAGGGAAGCAATCGCATAGTGAAGGACCAAATGTTTGCTGACCATCAACAGTATCTCTGGTGGTAGATTTGTGAACTTCTCACTCATGATCCGGTGTAAGTGGTTCAAAATCCACTCTCGTCGCCGCTCATCTTCTTGAACTGAAGGCTCATAAGAGTACCGAGCAACTTGCACAAAGGCTCTCTTCTCAAGCCCAAATGATGAAGCAATCTCTGAGCATTCAACGTGATATCCGATTGTTGCACATGATTCGTGATCGCTTGTGCAGCGTCTGAAGGTTGCGTGTAACTTGTTATCGTTGAAGGAATCGCACGATTTAAAAGCAGTTGTTTCAGTGCCACCAGATGCTCCTTTCACATAGTCAGTCAGCTATTGCTTCTCAAGGTTCAATTTGGATAATTGAACTTACTCGCTGTGATGAGGTCGCCGGGCTTGATCGTAAAGCGACACCATCCGCATCGACGACTGACACAGTAAGACGGATAAGGTACCATAGGAGGAAGAGGGTTGATATAATTCAGCGCATGCCATTCCCACCCTTCAGCGAATTCCATCCATTCCAAGTCCATTATTCGATCAAGTCGGCGAATTTCTTCAGAGCTGAGTCCTCCAGCGTAGTCCATGAAAGAAACACGAATGGCTTGAGGCTGGAGGGAGCTAACCGAGTATAAATAAGCCAGCCAACCTAAGCTGAACCAGAACAATGAATTGGGACGGACTATTTGATGATATCACGTGGCTTCATTTATCCAACGTGAGAAATAAGAGGGAATGGAGAACAAAGGAAATTATGTTTGTTATATAGCCTGATTGATACCTACTTCAACAGTGTATCATTGCCAAGACGAATGTATACATGCGCGATACGTGTAAGCTTACGCCCCCATTGATCAAGTATGCGTTGAAATTACTGGGCAATCCATAGATACTATTATCTTACACGTAATTCTTCAAGATTTGATACTAACTTCTATTCAGTGTGGTTGCTGATTGATCCGAATAGCCGATTGTGATACGATATGTTCGTTGTTTGCTTTTGCCCAACATTTTATCTTCTTGAGTGTAACAACCTTGGCTAATATGCGGTTGATGTAGCCAAGACTGGTTATAACCCGACCTTCGTCCGTGGTAAAAGATCCCCCTGATGATATCAGTGAGACAGGGATGTACTTATCATTAAGGAAACCCGCCATTTGATTGGGCTCATGCGAGTTTGTGAACCGGCCCGGTTTGTATTGAAGCTGGCTGGGTCAGTAGGTGGCAGATTTATAAGTATCGCGCTCGAGCTTTTAAGTCTTCGAATACACTATGAACAAAGCTCAAGCATTTGTATGACTTGGTAAATATCGCCTTTTTCGATGTTTTCACGAGCTGCCGTGAAAACATACTCACGGGTGAAGGAAGCTCTGTTGTCACATAAGGACCGATATGCCACTCTTGCGTGATGACTCTTGAAAAAATGTGTTGAGTCTTGATTTTGTTGCTTTCAGAGGACGATTGCAACAGGCGAACTGGATACACTGAGTTGTTTGCCAAGGTTGGTGGATCGAATGAAATGAGTTGTATGCATAGAGGAGGAGGCATAGCATTTAGAAGCTTTACGACTAGATCACGCGGCACTGGATAATGGTAGTTACTATGTGTTAAGAAGATGCAGGACAACGTACTTCTCATACAGGCGTTGATAATGAAAAGTATCCGAGTGACATGACATGCATGCATGCCTGGCTGTTTGCTGTTGTTGTTGGTTGATATGTTCGTGACAGTATCAGGCCATTTTCAAGCTGGTCGACCCGTCGTCGATGGCTACAATACTATGAGATATCGGTGCTAGGTAGATATATCCTTGAGGCTTACTTGCTCTAGATATCATTCAACATGATGATGGTAAAGAAAGAAAGGTCAAGAGGTCAAAAATGCAAAAGAGAAAGATCCTCCGGTACAGGGAATCGAACCCTGGGCTCCGCGGAACTGATCCCTCAGCTGTAAGTTGAGAGCGCGAAATGTTAGCCACTACACCATACCGGATGCTAATTGGTTGAGAGAAAACTCCAGTATTTTGTTATATCATGGCTGCACACTATCAGGATGCCATGGGTTTGATCGAGCTTTTTGAGACCTAGGTTCTTTCTTGGTTGTCATATCTGTCAAGTGTTTTCAGAGTCTCATATATCTCGATGATAGGAAGATTCGGGATAACCAGTATTCTGGATATTATGTATGGTCTGCCAGATATCGCAGTTTTACAATCCCGCTAAAGCATCAGAGAGGCTAGCGTGGTATGAATGACAATGGTGAAAGCGGTTCAAGATAGAGTGAAATTCAGTGGGTATTGTATTTAGAAGTCTTGGTAGGTATCAAACTCCAACGTAGATTATTCCCAGAAATAAATACAGTTTACTAGATCTTGATTTCCATCATTATCCTCGGCTCAAAGATGAATCAAGATATGTGGCTGATTGGAACCAACATCATTGTATCTGGGATAGGTTAGGCCAATCAAGTAATTGATCCTGCAACGGTTCCTGTCATTCGTCTTGATACAAATCGAGGCGGATCAATCTTCCTTGTTGCCAGAATGTCGACGGGCTTGCTGCTGATGCCACGATTGAAGGCGAAGGTGCACGTATATGTGTGACTCTCCTCGAGCAACAGCCAATCTACTGGCGATTGCGACAGGACTGAGCATCAGGATGTGCCCGAGACAGACATCTCAAGCTGGAAGCCGAAATCTCCCTGCAATCAAGACAATTTCTTTTGCATCAGATCAGCCAACTCGTCGAGCAGCTCCACCGTCTCAGCTGGGCTGGCGATCCAGGCCGTTGTTCCGACACTTCTCGCCTTGAAGTCATTGGAGCCAGCACTTAAGAATTGATCGCCTACGTGCAGGGTGTTCTCTCCGCGAATGGCGCCGCCATTCTCCTTGCTGCCAAACCACTGCTGGCAAACAGTCACGCCCCAGCTCTTGTCACCAATATCGACAAATACATCATTACCTCCGTTGAAGGCACAGAATGGCACCCGGCGTGATTGGCTTGCCACTGAGGGCGGAATTGGAGGGGAGTTGGGTCGGTGCTTGGTCGGGCGCTCCTCGCTAGATCCAAGACTACTGAGCTCCAGGATGCGTTGAACAACGAGAACAGTCTCTTCAAGGCTCTCACGGGCGATGCGAGTACCTGGCGTCTTGGGGATAATACCAACAGCGCGGTCCTTGCGCATGATCATAGCAGGTAGGTTTAAGTTGTTGACACAGTCACGAAGGGCACCTTCGGCAACATCCAGCAATCTTGTAATGTCAGCATCCGACCATGAGGCCATCTCGGGTGTCAGCCACTGAGTGCGCGGGACAGGAGCTAGCTTGTAGGGCGAGGAAGGTGAGTACTCAAACAGGTAGTTTGCTTCACCTCCCATGATGACGATGTTTTGCTTCTGGATAGGATCCAGATCAGTTGCCTCCGCAATTGCGTCAAGCAATCCGTGAAGACGCTCATAGTAGCGGTCGGCGGATGTGTAACCAGCAGCCGTGACAATACCAATCTTGATGTTCTTTCGTAGCAGGTCTGACACACGTTAGTTTGCTGTTTGCTGTTTGCTGTTTGCAACTTTCGTGAACCAGCTTACCGAGAAGACGGGGAATCACAGGACTCAATGGCTCAAGATTGAACCCATCGTCATACAGGGTTACATCACCATCGAACGTGGCCAACTGCAGTGATCCGTTTGTTACAGCCATGGACTGGGCTGAGTTGAGGATTTGCCGAACATCGTTGAAGGATGGAGCAACAAATCTTCGAGATGAGATATACCGTTTTCTGTCTTGATACTTGAAAGCTGCCTCCAGGGGCAGCCGGGTGAAGAAAGGGCCCGCAGTGGGGATCAGCATCCGCAACTTGGACGGGAGCATGGTGTCATCTTGCTGACGGCTAACTGCTGGGAATCAGAAATGTTTGCTGTGAAGGTGAGTTCGAAAGCTTACTGTGATCATCAATCATGAGCTCAACGTCACGCATAATCTCAGCGTAACGGCGGTGAGCCTCTTCGGCCATCTGAGTAACACTAGGTCCATCTCCAAACACTCCAGTGGGCTGAGAGTAGAGAACGAAGGGGACAGCTAGAAGACCTTTAACCCATTCTGCGATTCGAGTTAGCGGGCTGAGTCTGAGGTGAGGCGTGACAACAGTGGGACATGTGATGCGGGGATGAAATGGGAAAATGATGAATCAAAAAGACTGTGTAGTCTGTAATGATGTTCGTGATATGCTGTGGCAAATAGAGTCCGACATACCAATAAATTGGTCTCTTCGGTGTGTCTTGAGGGCATCTGTTTGGTATCGTGAGCTTGTGTAACCATGAGTGTTTGGATGACCAGAAGGGAGGCTTGAGGTGGGGTTATTGACGGCTTAACTTACACTCGACACGGTAACGGGTTGTCATCGTTGCAGTTGGTACAAGGTTTCAGTTGATGTTGAAGGAGTTAAAAATACTTTGTAGGATGATGAATTGTGAGAGAGAAGAAAGGAGGGAGAAGTTGTTTGTTTGTTTGTTGTTTGTCTTTGATAAGATGAGGGGAGGTGAGGGACGGTGTGACTACTTGCCTGACCTAGGAGGAGGTAATCTAGACCTCGCCGTCCCTGCCCTACCCACCATTGACCTCCTAATCCTTGTGACGTACGGGAGCCGCCGTAGCGTTGAGCGGGGAACGCCGACCGCTAAGATAGCCCAAAGCTATAGGGGAAAATCGTTTTGATTGGTTCGGGATATTCATGATACCCCTGTCAATCCCTCCTGCATCACGGCATTCACATTGATGAGATCTCCCACACTGCTACTGGGATACCCTAGACTACCTATGCAGGAGCCTCACCTTTTTTTCTCTTCTTGCATGATGAAACTATGCGATGAGTCCATAGCTACGAGAGTTCATTCTTGGTAGAGTTTTTTCTTGAAGACTGGTTAAGAGTTGGTGCGTATGGCACTCTGAGTAGCACTTCGAGTACAAACAGAGACTATCACTCACAGCCAAAAGTCAATGTTAGGGGAGGATGATTCACAACAAACCAAGTATCACACCCTAGTCAGCTGACAGAAGCTCTACCAATGACTAAAGGATCTACAGATAGACTATGCGTAGCTGTGATCTTACTACAGATCGGCAATGTGTAGCGTAAATCGTCCGCATTGGCCCTCACTACTATAGTGGCTGGCTGAAGCCAGTTACATATGCATGTCTCAAACTGCTGTCAATCCACGGCGCAAAACCTGCTCATGGACCAATAATCAAGTTGAATGAGATGCGGTGAGACGCCCCCAAATCAATATAATTTCGTGGCAACAAATGCACATAAAGGATCGATATCTGGTCATGTTCAGATTCTTTCCTATTCCGGTCCCGTTCCATCAAGTTGCTGACAATGGCGATGATACCGCGAACTTGACGACTGCGGCAGACGAAGTACGATATATGACCAACTCAATAAGATCGAAATACTAGTGTCATCGATCGTTTCCGGTGGAAGAAATGAGGGCACAGCTTGGGAGCTCTCTCCCACCAGGAGACAAGCACGTAAGAACTCTCGTCCACATCGTCAAAGCTCACTATGCTGACAGGCCTCACCAGGGCGTCAGTGTGTATATACCGACATGGGAAGACACTGTAGCTTGGGCTGAAAGAGACCCCGAACTCATAGCCCAGCTAAAGACCGGATACCCTCGATTTTTCGTCCCTCTTGTCGTCAACGAACTCGCAGAACGATTTCTCGAATGGACTTCTGAGGGAGCTTCAGGAATGCTTACATCCGAATTTCGAAACGAGCTGAGGCAATCGTTAATCGAGCCCGGACGATCGGCGATGCTTATAACAGCATGTCATCATGCCAAAGGCCTTCAAGAATACCTACAAAGGCAGCCAGATTTGAAAGCATTTGTCTTCGTAGTTGAGTTCGACGGTGATATTCATCTTGTCAAGAAGTCAGAGAACAGAACTGACTTGAACAAAATCTATGTAGTCGTCTACCCTCAAAGAGGAGCCAGAGAGGCAAAAGCATTTTGGCAACATACCGGGTTTGGTATCTCGAGTCGAAGGGCGACATATTGGTTAGAAAATGCCCCTTTCTTAAACCAAGACCGCGCATTGCCTGCGGCCACTCTTCCAATCCAGGAGGCCAAAGATGCCAAGCTTGCCATACAACAACGGATTGCAGACTCGTTCAGTACCAAAGACAACAAGTTGAAAAAGAGCGATGTGTTATTATATCCCACTGGCATGTCAGCTATTAGCCATATCCAGGATATCGTCAGTCTTTACACTACAACGACAAAGAGGACCATTGCGATCTTCGGGTACGTCAAAGGCAAACCTGATAATTGACCAGACTAACGATGAATCCAGATTTTTATATGTCGATACTTTCAAAGTCCTAAACGAGATCCACGGCTACGAGTGTAAACTCTACGGCGCTACACAATCCGACCTGGAAACCCTTGAAGAAGACCTGGCAGCAGGTCTGGAGCTATGTGCCCTCTTTACAGAGTTCCCTGGTAACCCAATCCTTGGCTCCGTCGATCTAGAGCGAATAGAAAGAATGTCCGATGAATACAACTTCTTGTTCGTGGTTGATGACACAGTCGGTACATCGGTAAACGTCGACGTTATCTCACATTGCGATGTTGTATGCACAAGCTTGACAAAGATGTTTAGTGGAAGCTGCAATGTCATGGGAGGAAGCGTGGCCCTGAACCCAAAGGGCAGAGGTCATTGGGATATAAAGAGACGATTAAAGGTTCGTTCAGTCAACACCTACTTTCCGCTAGATACGATTGTTATGGAGGAAAACAGCGCAGATTTTGAAGATCGAGTTATCAAAGCCAGTCAAAATGCAGAGCACATCGCAGATATACTTCGCAAGCATAGTTCGGTTGGGCAAGTCTATTATCCAAAGGGAAGCCCGACACAACAACTTTACGAGAAATATAAACGGCCTGGAAAAGGGTACGGGTATCTGCTATCTATTCGTTTTAAGACCCCGGCAGCTGCCATAGCGTTCCACGACGCTCTCGATGTGGCAAAAGGGCCAAGTTTGGGGACCAACTTCACTCTAGGCTGTGCATATACGCTCTTTGCACATTACCATGAGCTTGACTGGGCTGAAGAGTATGGTGTTGTTGAGCATTTGGTACGAATCAGCGTGGGGATCGAGAGTGATAAGTTCTTGGATGAGGTTATCAAGACAGCTCTGGATGCAGCTGAACGAGCGAATAAGAAGTGAAAAGAAAGTTGTGATATAACTAGAGGAGACATTTTTGTCAAGATTCAACATTCGGCTTTGTCCAGCCTAAAATACTCACATGCGCAGAACCCCTCAGCCACCGAAGCATCCATGCCTACTTGTGAACTTATTGGTTCCTAAGCCAAGGGTTGCAATAGAGGAACCACCACATTGCCACAACTAAGAACACCAAGATTGACCCGCAGTTTTACAAGTCGCAGTATGTCAGTGGGACTTTGAGAAAATCATTAGAAATCGTTGAATATCCTACCGAGATAAAAGTATAACTTTTGAACCGTCCTTCTGTGGAGATTCCCAACGTTTAAGTACGAAACTTGTGAAAGCCAAGCCAAATTTCGAGAGACTGTACGCAAACCTCATGAAATATCAGGGGCATCGCTCGTTATAAATATATGCCAGTTCCTTCCCGTGCTTCACCGTCTGAAGCAAAAGCTGTCCCCTCCTCAACCTCAGCCACTGAACCATAATGCGTCTCCTCCTCTTCCTCACCTGTGTAACCCTCACCCTCGCCTCCGTGCGACTCACCTGAGAGTACCCCAATGACAAACACAAATTCCTCACTGGCCGCTCCCTCGACATGAGTCTACGTCTTTCCCTGAAGTCTCAACCGCACCAGCGGCGTGACAGGCTATAATTCTGTCGCCCACAACTGGACATCCATCTTCGGTTCCACCACGACCGTCCTGCCTAACAGAGTTTTGTAGAGGGTATCAAGGAGGATGATACTTCTGTGAGTGCCCTGGTCAAGGAGAACAGTAGGGAATCTGCCTGAGGAGAGGAGGGTGAACCCTTATTCTTAACTGCCTACGGGAAATGAAAGACCGACCCAAGCCTTCGGAGAAATTCGACGAACCTACCCGCCTCGTCAATAATACGAGACCAGCCGACTCTCTCGCATCATTCATACCACTGGGGGGGGGGGGGGTCAGACCCTCCCCTTCAGCGTCTGAGGATAGTCTGTCTGTAGGACCATCTGGCAGTGAAGATAAATGATGACTTTGAACCAAAGATGGAACTATCGATTGTATTTATTTGTTTGTTTGTTTACCTTTTAACTGGGACTGCTCAGCTCAAGAGTTGCCATCGCCTCTTCTTTTTGTCTCGTGACTATGATCTCATCTTATCTCAACTTGCACCCTCGAATCGAATGAACTCTTGCTCGCCTCATCCGCAGTCTCGTCGTTGTCGGCTCATTTTCTCATTTCTCCTCAGCACAAATTTCCCGTCAAATAGACACCCTCGTAAACTGCTTCATAATCCAGCTCCCCTATACCAATCATACCCACGGCACTCTTTGGAAGGGGTCCTCCAGTAGGTGGGCTCATCATTGTTTGCACGTTCTAAATCTCTTTCTTTTGGTATGGGCTCAACACATTTCTTGGTCTCCGGGGAATCTTTACTCCTGCCCTGACATGAACGAGGAAAGGGATATAACAAAATGGGGGTAGAAACAACTCCAATAACTCAGATCACTCGTGATACGTGTACGACATCCTTCGACAGCCATCCTTTAGCTGGCACCACCGTTAGGGGCGCTGAGATTGGCCGCCATCGCAGCAGCCTGTTGTTGAGCCAGGAGCTGAGCTTGCTGGGCTTGCTGCACCTGCTGTGCCGCGATCTCATCGGCCTTGACCATCACGGACTGAATCACATTCTGATCATCAGCCGTGAGGTGTCCAGCCAGGCTGCTGTAGAACTGGGGTTGCTCTTGTTGCATTTCTATCAAAGTCAGCAATGTCTGACGACGTGTATAGGATTGACTCACTCATGAGAGTGCCGCGGAATAATTGGTAAGGCTCAATCTTGTCGAGTGGCGACTCGAGCAGGACAGAGTCCTCGCCGAGATCGTCCTCCTCAACGTCATCAATCGCTCGGCTGAACTTCTGGGCCTTGATTTTTTATTAGCATTATACCGTAGTCATTGTGTAGGATTATACGTACCTCCTCGTTCAAGAAGTTGAGATAAGCAGTGCTCTCGTCCTTGGACTCGTTAGTCTCGCCTGTCTCCTCCTCCTCCTCAGCGTTCCAGTTGGCCTCGTCATCATCCCACTCATCTTCCTCGCCGTAGTCATAAGTGGACTCGAGGTGGAAATCGTCACGGAGAGCCTCGTCGCGGTCTATCACCTGTTAGCTGTGACTCGGTTGCACTAAGGATATGTAAAACTTACTCTTCTGAGCGGCAGGAAGGGAGCGGAATAGTTCAGTAATGCCTTGAAGCAATCTTGGCCAGCCAACAGAGACACTGGATGGCACGTGCTCAGGGTTCAGGCTCAGGAGAGCTGAGATGGCAACGATGCAAAGCTTCTTGTCGTGAACACGGGTGAAAGAAGTCATGCTGCCGAACCAGAGACTAAAGAAACGGTTTGTCCAGCCCTTGTTCTCAAGTACCTGAAGGGTGAGAAGTGGGTTGTAGTGGATCGAGTTGATCACCATCTCCATGAGATGGATGCGGTAGCTCTTCACCTTAACATCTTGGTTGGCAAGGATGCTCATGGCAATGTTGATGAAACCCTCGACACAGCTATCAATTTGGCCCTTCAAGCTAAGCATCATAGCCTCGGCCAGTTTGCAAGCACATATCCTCTCAACGCCTCCCTGAATACTGTCGGTGAACATATCAGCGACCATGGAGTAGAGGGCCTGAGTGTACTCGGGCTTCTGAGCGAGCTGGGGAGCACCAAACTGGACAAAGTTGTCCAAGGCAGGCAGCATATCCTCGAGGTAGTATTCAGCACCAGCCTTGAAAGTAGTGTGAATCAACTCAAAGGCCTGCCACATGGTGGGAGAGATGGACTTGGCAGCGAATGTGCAGCTATCGATAATTTCGAAAACCTCGTTGTAGAGGTCATAAAGCTTGTTCTCCAGGGTAACCTTGATGACGGGCATAAGGACAGCCTCAATGTGAAGCAGGACGTCGGGAGTGCTCTCGAGTGTGAGAATCAGAGTTCCGATGGTCTGCAGAACACCCAGAGCAGTAATGCTCTTGTCGTCGTACTCGTTGTAGAGCTCACCGTCATCGCCAACCTTGCTCTCCTTCTCGAGAAGCTCGCGCACAATTCTCATATAAGTGTCTCGGAGCTGCTCGCTCAGTGCGACAGCAAAAGGAGTCAGCTCAGTGGCGAAGACCTCGACAAAGTCTTCCATGACGTTCGCGAGCGCATCGATATCAGCCTCATTGGCAAGCTTGAGCAACTGCTGCATAATCGTGGGAATGTTTTGCTGCATGCTTGTTCGAATGACATCGTGGCGGATAAGAGGCTGGAGAGCGAGAGCGGCTGTGACACGAACTGGGAGAGCAGGGTCGGCCATACAATCCAGGATGTGTCGGTAGATAGTAAGGAGGTTGTTCTGATCTTGGAAGTTAAGCTGCTCGAACTTCTCGATGGTGTCGCAAGCACGAGCGCGGAGGTAGCCCTGTGGGCTGGTAAAGTCGGGGAAGACATAACGGACGAGGAAGTATTCGACCTGATCAGCAATGGGGCTCTTCTTGCCCAGAATAACAGGTGCCAGGGTAGCGATCATGCGCAGGGCACCCTCCTTGGCAATGTGGTTTTTCTGATCATCCGCAGCCTGCTCGTACTCGGTGACAACGGCGTTGACGAACTTGAGAATCTCGAAGGTCTCCTTGCGACGGTTCTTAGTAAGGTTGACAAGGAAGTTAGTAGCGGCGACATCAGGGGCAGACGCTTCCTCGAAGTAGTTAAGCTTTCGGTGAAGGTACTCGTCGGGCTCATCCTCGAACTGCTCGACATCCTCCTCGGTAAGGCAAAGAACAGGGAAGACGAAGTGAGTAACAAGGTTGGTAAGATGAGGCTTGAGGTGTGTCCACATCTCCTTGGGTCGTACCGACTCGTCGAGGAAGACCAGAGTATAGGAAAGGCAAGGTCGGCTGAGCCAAGAGGTTTTGGCAACCCATTTCTCGATCTCCTGGAGGTAGTGCTTGAGGATCTCGGGGGCAATGTTCGCGGTGAAGTCCTTGGCGAAAGCAAGTGCGTCTTCGCCCTTGCCAGGACTGGCAGGGTTGCCATGTCTGTGGATTACATGTTAGTTAAAATCACCGACATTCGACATATGTAAGCAGTCCTACCGAATGAAGAGGCGGTTCAGGTTGAAGAAAGCCCACTTCTTGGCCTTCCACCAGTGATGCTTCTCACGTTCGTGTTGATCACCCTGCATAGCGTTGGCGGGGCAAGCCTTGGAAACCGTGTGTAGGAAAACAGTGCACCAAGCGATGTTGGTGTCACGTTGTCGCAGCGAAGGCGAGAGTTCCAACTGCGAACAAGGTTAATACGTGGCTCCTGAGCAAATACATCATATCCAGGGGAGTGCGCACCCATGTCGCATGCTTGTAGGCCTTCAGGGCCAAGTGAAGCATTTCACCAGCCTCATCGCTCTCCTGGTTCACCAACTCGTTACAGATGGCGAGAAGACGGGGGAATGTTGCCTCCACAATCTTGTCAAAGTGTTGTCGGTCATCGCTGTCGGTCGATTTGTAGCGGAACGCACGGCAGATGGCGAGCAGACACTGCAGGCCAGCGAGAACGGAACCGGGGTTATTCGTGTTTAGAAGCTCGACGGTGAAGTCCATGAACTTCGGCCAACGGGCGGGAAAGTCATATTGGAGAATTCGTTGGAGGACGGGAATGAGCTGCTGGCGGACGAGGGTTTCGGACGTAGCGAGAATTGGCAGAAGGCGGTCTCGTACACGAGCCTTCTCTTCTTCAGGGATTATAGCGGTGGGGGGATCGGGAGAGTACCCCTCATTATTGTACCATGAGCGATTGACGCGGTTCTTGACATAAATCACGGCTGGAGTGGAAGTTGGTCAGAAGCGAACTGATGAGGAAGCGCACAAGTAGGCTTGATAGAGGGCACGAGAGTTGGTAGACATACTCGAAAGGCGGACACTAGACTCCTGTTCGGCTTGTAAGATATCGAGCAGACATTCGAGAAATCCGGGCTGTTCTTCAATCTAGAAGGTAGACAAGACAAATTAGCAATCTAGTTCTTTGTGGACTTGGAGGCTGGCGCAAGGGACGCAGCCGCACAAAGAGGCGTTGGGGAAGGGTTTCCAGAGTAGGCGGGAAAGATGCCAGCCAGCCATCGTATCAAAGAGCAGAGCAGATGGCTGGCCGATTCCCTGCCAATACCCAAGCACAAAGGGCTTCCCTCGACCAAAGACACAAACGCAGGACGCACCTGTTTCAACTGAAGCTCAGCACGCCTTCGACTGTCTGCATCAGGGTCCAAGCTAGTGGCGAGCAAGGACCTCACAGCGGCGGGATCCATGATGAAGGGTGGATATGGAGAGAAGTCGACGTCGAGGCCGAAGAGGATGGGAGTGAGGTTGGAAGAGATGCGGACGAAAGAGGCGGAATCAGGATCTGTCAGGTCTGGATAAGGATGGCGAGCGACAGATGGCGGGGCATCTAGAGACAACCCAAAAAGCACCCAAAGAAAAGCACAAGCAAGTCCAGCCCAGCTAACTTAGTCCACAGTCCAAAGGCTACGAGCCACGGTGTGAAGCAGAAGCAGTCTCAAGTCGAGCGAGGTGCTGAATTAAGTCGACGCCTTGGAACGCGACAATAGCTTTTGTTGAACAAGAATTTTCTTGGTGCTTTTCCTTGAAAAAGAGCTGAAATATTAGGTCCCGATGGACGATGCCAGAGGCCCAAAAAGTTGTAGTCGGCAGAAAGTACCACCAGGGCCGTCCGTGTGTGCGAGTGTCCAGGGGCTCGAAAAGATGGGAAATGGGGGTTCTGATTGGGGCCGGGTAGGGCTCCAGGCCAAGTGCGCGGTGCGGGTTTGTGTGTGGGACACAATTCGGTCACTCGGCGGCGGAAGCTTTCAAAGCTGGAGACGGCGTCGGGACGGAGTCGAATGAAGTCGATGAACTGGACGAGGGGAAAAAAACACACGCACACTTTTTGCTTGCAGGTGGGTCTGTCTCGTTTTTTCTTTCTTTTCTTCGGCGAGTATGACGAACATTGAGTCCTTCTGGTTATAATGTTTATTGAATGAAGCGAGAAGCATCAAAGGACGAAGATTCATTGGAAGACGATTATAACGTGGTGGTTTAGGTAGAAGCCCAATTAGTGGAGGGTTCTCATGCACTGTCGAGCAAGACGGGAACTATTGATGTAAGGGAGGCATATTCACTGCTTACAAAGTCAAAAGCTTGAAAATGACGGAAAGTTACGATGACAAGCAGTTGAATGCACCTGCCACCAGAACATAACATCCAAGGCAAGAGCAATTGTGGCAGCTCAATGCAAGGGTTCTCACGTTGAACACACTGGAACCAACAAGCCTCCGAGTCAAAGCAATCCAATTACTCCAGGTAACCAATGATTGTGGTACCTACCGATGCACCAAACCTTGGCGATGGTGTCAAGTACCGTAAGCACCAAACCCATCCACAGCGCCTCGCAGGGCAGCACGAGTATGCCACGAGAAATGCACGAGGTCACCCATGGCAAAATGGATGATCACTTTTTAGGGTCGGGCCAGGCAGGTCTCATTTCAGAAAGGCCAAGCGCTTTTCCCGGAAGATAATATCTTGAGGCAAAATTACTAGCCCTTTGTGGGATGTCACTGATATTACCGGTACATTGGAAGGATTCACTTATCTCATGCTCTGTACTCCGTAATAACATGACAAATCCCCACGATAGAAAGACCGTCATAATAACAGGGAGAAAAAAAACGAAACAACAGAACAAAACAACCAAAATAGCCAAAACAAATTAAATAAAAAAAAAAACCAGTTAAATCGCAGGGTCCAACACCATAGTCACTAGCGCCCCGCCATTTCTCTCACCGCTTTTGGCTTAGATGCAGAAACTCCAAATTTGTCGGTTCTTCAGCGGGCCTCGGAGACGTCACGATCGTCATTCTTTGATTCAAGGGCAGAAACTTCTTTACATGAAGCATAACATGATTCAAGCCTGCAGAATTCACTGCATGTCCTGACAGTCAGTTGTGGCAACTCTTCACCGTTGCATGAATTAATGGCGGCTCAATAGTTCCAGGGAGAGGCTATTGTGAGACATTGGATTGGCTGCATTGGCATTAACCTCTTTCATGCGATTGGAAAGTGTCACCTGAGCACAGATGTAGAAGCTTTGCAAACATAGCGCCTTTCAATTGTTCTGTCTATCAATGTCCCATCGGCGTTTAGAACCCCGTCTTTACCATCAATATCAAATGTACAAGCAATCCCCTAGTGGGACCTACCCGCCGAACTCGAGCCACACTGTGGCATCTCGGGGTTCGAGGCTGGCCCTCCCCTCATAAACCAGAAGACATTGAAATGGTGACCACCACCACTCCAGAGTCCCCTCCCACGACACCTCCAAGAACCTGTGGCCAACGATATCAGGATGGTTGGCTGGGTTGGAGTCCTCTGGAGCCTCTTCGAAGCTGTTGAATTGCGCGTCGAGGAGGTTTGGGTGTTCAGGTACAACCCCAGTGGGATCGTACCCGAACTCGAGGTACATGAGCTCTCGACCCTCACCCCCGAGAAGCATAGGTTCCTGCAGCCCGCTAAGGCGCACTTCCCCCAGTGCTTCTCGGCGACCTCCTGCGAAGCGGAACAACATGCCAGAGATAATCTCTGGCTTGTGCTCCAATCGACAGAAAGACACCTCAACAACGCCCGCCAGGTCGACAGAGCCACCGAAGAAATCCTCAACGCAGTACCTGAAGTCAGGAACAGGAGGTATCGTGGCGAATGGGTCAAATTGACTCAAGGGCCCCAAGGGGGAGGGACTTCGGAAAGCAATGGCACCAACTCCTACTGGGGCATCACTCCCGTAGTACATTGTCCTGACTGATCCTCGGGGAAGGTCAGCCAGGATCCAGGTGGTCTCGTGAAGACGAGTGGCATGAGCGTGGTAGATTTCTCGACCTTTGCTTGTACGAAACTGTTAGAGTTTGTCAGCTTTACTGTACGTACTTGATATGGTTGAAAACAACTAACTCCAAGACCACCGATGACACCCTGGGTGATGCCTACCCAAATCTCCGTCACTTTCTCTTCATCCTCAAACGGAGCAAAGAGATTTGCTGCGTCAAGATCACGACCTTCTGGGCCGCCGTGACCTCCGGGTACATGTATATGTACTCGAGCTAAGATTATGGCCCAGAAGGTCGTGATCCCGGCCATGCCTGGCTGGTTGACTGTCACCGGGGCCATTCGGCCAGGCCTGCTTGCCGGCTGAAACCACCGTAGTTCTCGGGGATGAATGGGCACCGGAAAGGCAGTCCTGTGATCACTCTGTTCTTGGAGTTGGGCTTCCATGCATGTCACGCACCATTCTGGAGCGGACAGCTTGCGGATCTTGACCCCCTATTGAAAATGTTAGTTAATGGTACTGATGTCTTTGGTATGAAAACTTACGTCGTGATGCGCCAGTAGCAAACACTCCCCACATGGGATATCTATGGCGAACCACCATACGTCAGGAACTTCACCAACTTCGAGCCAAGTAGTCGAGTTGGTGACTACTAGCTGAACGACTCCAAGATGGTTCACAGCCACGTAAACGACATTAGCCGTTTGTCCTTCGAGCGGCTGGAACAACTGAATCGCATTGTCTGGGATCTCATGCTCGTTGTTTGAAAGCGCCGTGACGTATTTTGTTCCTTGAAAATCGGCAATCTGGGCAAAAATGGGCTTGGTGAGTAGAAAAGTGAATTCTCGTGGACTGGTGAGCTGGGCTTCCGTTGTCATGGTCATATAATCAAGAAGCAAGGTCTTGGCAATGGATCGTAGAACTACAGATGTTCTGCTAAGCTGGAGTTGTGTACTTGATGACGATCGAGCAAAGTGAAGTGACAGTGCTTCGGTAAGATTTGAGCTTGCCCACTGGAGTACCTTCCTTTCTTCTAAGCGTGCCCGCTGGGGATAAAACTCGAGACGGTTCACATGGAACAAGTCATAAACTACAGCTCCTGATAAAACTCTGTGACAGCCTGGATGGTAATCTGCGATAAGGTCAGTACTCAACTTGAGCATCATCAAGACCGAGTATGATTTCATACCTTGTGTGCGGTTGGGATCTTCGTCGAGAGGAAGGCCACAAAGGAAGCACCTCTCAGCCTGAGGCTGGCCTGTATAGTGTGTAGGCATGGTTTTTAGGACGGATTTTGTGGTTTAACGTTTGTAGTGTCAGAGTGTTTGTTGATTTCGTATGGTATGGTAACACGGTCTATAAAGAACTGCGAAGAGGGCGGAATAAGAGTGGGTTGATAGTCGACTGAAGGTTCTAGGGAAGACTGTCCACGAATAGTGTGAAGGTGAATTCTCGGGATGCAAATCCAGGAAACCGGTCTTGAGGGAATGAAATGATGATATTGATAAATTTGGGATGGATAGATGTAGTTATTTTGTTGGCCCTTTCCAGGCCACTGGTGAAAAGGACAAACGGAGAAGGCAGCCGTAGGATGAGACGAAAGACGTGGTGATGATTTCCTTGACGAAGGTTGATAGTTGAGAGGTGAATGTGAGTTTCGTGATGGTCAAGTAAAAATTGAAGATGCATTCTGAAATGCCAGTGGGGCCTGACGGGAACCAACACTGTCAAGAAGCAGCACCACACTGGTGAACAATAAGGTATATTGATGTAGGTGCGATATTGATCGTTTCTTTGTTGGCTATTGTTCATTCAATACTATAGGGTACTTTGGCCAGTGAATGGATGTATTCTGCTGCTCCAACAAGAACGTCACTTTTTAGATGAACAATCGTTAATGGTCGAGACTCTCAGACATTGGTCTTCTAGGGTATGCTTCAGGAGTTTTATCGATATTCCTTCAAGGTTTGCTGAAGTTTAACTTGACTTGGTTCCTCAGAACAAAAGTATTTCTGGAAGCCCTGCGAAGCATGGACTCATTCTTCCTCACTATGTAATGTGAGATCAAATATTGTCCGATGCTTCGCAGGACCTCCGATGTCCTGCTGAGTTCCTGTTCAGCCTTTGTTTCGCCCTAAGCGAAACAAAGCGAATGTCCGGTCAGCGGTCATTGCCTCTGCGTCACTCCTGGTGGTCCGAACCCGAGGTACAAGAGTCTTTGCATCGTGCCTGGTGCGTGACTTAGGACCATCTGTCCACATTCTAGATGTAAATCTATAGACATTGATATTAGATATTCGGTTCGCGGTTGACAGAAAGTAGCAATATACCTGAGCTAGCAGCCTCTACTGGCAGGCCGCAAAGCCCGCAGCGCTTGGTTGTCATAGTGTTCATCGTGTGCGGCAGCGAATTGTGGTATCATAGAGTAGTTTAGTTTAGTATACAGGAAGAGGGTTTTCCGAGATTGTTTTCCCTTCAAACTTTTTAGAGCCATGATGTTGGATTGTCGAATGGGAGGGAGCATTGAAGTTGAATGGTGTATCTTTTCATCTCAAGAATCCGTAACCTCTTAAGATGGGAGACTAAGTTCTTGTACTGGGCATGGCAGTTCCTCGCCCTTTTGATCGCGCTCTATGTGCTTTGAATCACGGGATGAATCGTTGTCTTCTTCCGTGCATCCTTGGAAAGGACATTTGTACTTGTTTCCTTTATAGATTGCTTTGATGTGTTGTTGCAACAGGAGCCTCGCCTGTTGACTTGCAGGTATCGCGCTCCTTCATCAGAGTGCTTGGAGTTTGGTGTAAGTCCATCAGGACATTTGAGCAGGGCCAGTGGTTTCATCAGCAGAAAATCTCTTTGACCGATTCAAATATAGTATAACTTCAAATAGACGAAGCGAGTGAAAAGATATAGTTGGAGGCATAATGATAGTCATTGAGGTACGTCAGGCCAAAGTCTATATTGGTCTGCAACCGATCTTGAGGCACTCGTACTCAGCTCCAAGTTGCGCTCCGTTTGTCTTCAATGTGTGTATATCTAGAGAGACAACTGGTGGTGGGTTTGAGAGAAGAATGGGTTGGAAAGTGAGGGGAGGGTGTTGAATTTATAGTCATATCTTGATGAGGACGACGTGGTTTGTGTCTTCTTCGCCATAGGGGAATCTTGGCTGGTAAATTGCTTGGCTTTACTACACACTTATAACTTTTTTGGCATATAAACTGGTGCAATCTTGGAGCCGAACTATTGATGGTGAGGAAATAATTGAGTCTATTATGCCATGGTTGATGTTGTTGTCAGTCACTGTCCAGCAATCTTGACAAGTTATCGTTTTCCATCAGCCAAACGCAACGTGGCTCAATTAACGAAACAAATACTTGTATAGATTTTGTCCCCTTCCCTATGGCTGTGTCCAAAAGTCTTTTGTGTATGCCCTTTGCGTCTGCATCAAGCAGATGTGCCAACCTCCAAGTCAAGCAACTGGGTAAAAACAAGCAGACAAATCTTGCTCTGCACATCAATCCCTGATACCCTTTTACCTGAAAGCCATGTTTCAAACTGAGGAGCCCATGGATATTTGCGTTTGTAGGTCAAACCTGGTCAAATCTTCTCATATTTGTTGTCGCATGATCTGATGTCCAATTTATTCGGATATTTGCATGGTGTTACCTCCTCACCGCAATTCAAGCTAATCACACGACGGATACGACTTCAGAGACTGGGATGCCATCGATTCCTGAATTACCGTGGTAAATTCTGTCACAGTCTGTGTCAACCAGCCTAACCAGCGCCCAAGTTGGAGGGAGGAATGCCCCTGCACTCTCGTGCTGGCAGCTATTTATTGGTTGCCTTAATTGAGTTTGCTATGGATGATGCCGCGGTCAATGCGCAGAATGCTACAGTATCCAGCCAAAGAGAGATGTTGTTTTGCTGCTTATGCTCTAGGTCGAGAATGAGGCTGGCTGAAGCCGTTAGCGACAATAGTGTCCGTCAGCTGTTATATCAGTGGCTAACAGCTCGATGAGCGTGAGGTGAAGGTCAGAAGGTGAGTAAGACATGATACACTGTATATGTGAATCCTATTCCCCTCTTTCTATCACATGCTCGTATTGTCTTCTTCCATTCATACTCTTCTTATCATCGTATAAGTGGTGTTTCAATATGGCTTCATCCTCAGAACCGCTCGCAAAAGGCACGTATGCTCCTTCGGGTCCAAACGACATACGCGGTCCCTGTCCAATGATCAACACTCTCGCGAATCATGGTTATCTTCCCCGCAACGGCCGAAATGTTCGTGTTGAAGAAGTCCTCGCAGGCATGGACGCAATTGGTCTCTCCAAGCCTCTCGGTGCTGCCTTTGCCAATCCCATCTTTCAAGAACGCGCGCCTTCAAAATTTCACGATGACCCAGTTGTCAAGAAGTCTTTTTTGCAAAGTATTTTGCAAACGATCAAGGACCCTTGGTCTGTTTTGGGTAGATTCGGTATGCGCAAGCCGGGTCAGCTGGACTCTGAGGGTAACAGGGTGTTGAACCTGGATCAGCTTGGGTTACCCAACACAGTTGAGCACGATATATCTTTGACCCGTCGGGATCATCAACAAGGCGACAACATCAGTCTTCAGAAGGACCTTGTCGAAGATTTTTTGGCGAGTTCAAAGGATGGCCAGACTCTCACTGCGAATGACCTGGCAGAGTTTCGCAAGAAGCGCATCGCCAGACAGAGAGAGGATAACCCAGGTCTTCAATATGGGTCTTTCGAACATGACCTTGCATGTGCGGAGATTGCACTGATTCTCAATGTAATTGGAACTGGTGACAGTGTGCCGTGTAGTTATGCCAGGGCCTTTTTGCAGGAGGAGAGGCTGCCGATACAAGAGGGTTGGAAGAGAGAAGAGTCGAGGTTGGGTATAATTGGGTTGCTTACCAAGAGGAACGGTATCAAGAAGATTATTGGTATGGAATTCAAGTCTTGACGTCAAGGTGATCTCTCATTTCACTTCTGTGACGATTTCATCTGGTAAGCTTTCTTTCATCTTGTTCAAATCACCGGCTGGTTATGTAACAGATAAATAACGAAGGCAATATTGATACCTAGCTTGGCTAGTTTATACAGAATGATAACTTTTTACTATATCTAATTTTATGCCAACAACTCCCACTACAATTCCTCCCTCTTTTAGTGATGTTGTTTGTCCATCGGCCATCGTCTTTCTATCCAATTGATCAACATGGCATCCACCGTCCACTCCTTCTCTTGAAATCTTGACCAAGTATGTCTATCTCAGGTGGCAAGTGCGAATACGGGGGATCCAGTCACGCGGGGATCGTGACGGGTAGTTGCAGTTTCACCAACGATGGCTCCTTCCTGCGAGATGCAGCCGGCCATGACATTGGAAGGTTGTTGCATAAATTCGCGCTTTCTGTAAGACGTTGACCTGCAGTCAACCTGTCCAAGGTACCTACCTAGCCTCTCTCTGACTGTTTTCTCCTGTCACCATCCATCACATCCATCTTCTTACGTCTATTACTCACTTCATAAGCTGTCATCCAGCAGACAAATCCCTGCAACTCATCTTATTTGCCGCCTCATTCAAGCCTCTAAATTACCTACAATGCAAAAGGACTATTCAATCACCATGTTGAGCAACAAGGCCCACGGGATACGGCATAAAATAGCTTTCAAAACACTCACTCCTTCCACAATCCTCAAACAACGACCAACAAGTCAGTCTTGTCCGATTTTTCCAATAGAGTTGAACACATAATACTAACACTGCGTTCGAAATCAGCCAGCTCATCAAGCGCAAGGGTTTGACACCCGAACACTCGCGTACGAAGACGACCGATCGCAAAAGTTCAAGCACATAAGTTTTATTAAAGAGATGTTTTAATTCTTTACTGATTATCTATTCTTACTCAGGCAATACCTGGATTAATTCCACAATCATTGCCTAGTTGGCATGATGAGCAATAAAGGGCCAGTAATCACTGTTGTCATTAAGTTTGTGTGTCATTTCAGCAAGATAGATCCAAGAAATGGAACGCATCAAGAATGTGGGCTGGTATCTCTCTGACTCTCATGACACAACAAACACTCACCACAAGCCAAGCTTGTGTTTGGTATGAGCTCGCGCAGCCACCCGACTCGCCTTCCCACACCGTACCGTACCGTGCCGTAGCGTAGCGTAGCGTGCCGACATTGACGCCATCCTGTCAAGCGACTTCACCGCGAACTCTCTCTCCCATTGCACAGGGCGGCCGAGTTTCCATACAAGGTTAGATATGTTGAACGCTCTGCTCTGTCGTGCGGTTGTACTTGTCCTCCAGCGCACGTCAGCTTGATCCTGTACCGAGTGCAGAATCTATCTTGTCTTGAGTCCAAGCATGCTAGCTCGATATGCGAATATCTATTATGAGCTTTACCTGCAGCGTATGCGTAACTCGACTCGACCGGGGCTTCCATGCTATGGGCAGGTGCTTGGGTTCCTGTCACAGAGCCTTAGCCTCTATCAAGCCTCGGGACGAGGAATAGGCTCGGACTTCATCACACAACTTACACAACTGCCCGCCCGATGCCGCGGGCTTACGTCTCGGACAAATTCACTCACTTTTCACTAACCTAAACAGCAGTTTTCGGCGTATAGGCCCAGAGATAAACAATATGATCGACCACGTACCGCATCAACACCACAAACGGCCGACCCGGATCATCATGGTTACTGTGGCCTAGCCTACGGACACCCGCAGCCTTCGAAACTAAGCCGCCCGGTTCTCACAACACCCTGATGATACGATACGCACGGGTCCGTACAGCCTGCCAGACGATACCAACAAGGATGGGTCAACTAGCTCTCTGCGGTGCTTCCACGGCCAATGTTGATGTTGTTGCCCAAGAACTAGTACATAAACCTATACATCAAGAGGTGATATCCTGCCAACTTGCCAGGACAAAGACTTACAAGCACTTCTCATTCCAATACCTGTCCAAACATTCTAGACTCGTCCTAACGTCAATACTTATCTTGTCACAATGATCTTTCCAGTCAGCTCCGACTCTACCCAGACTTCTAGCTCTGATCCTGTCGCCAACCCGCCAGCTCAAACCCCCGAACCACCTCGCTATCAGGTCTTTCATATTGAACACTCCCCTGGCACCCACAAGATCTTCATTCCAACAAGCTCTCCACGACCGGCAGGCTATCTCTATCATGTTCTGGAATCTTCGAGCCCTGAACATCCACAGCCTACCATGACTCTGGTCTCCGATATCATCGAGTCTCTAGGTCAGGTTGGCAACATTCATGATAGCAAATGCGTCGGCTCCATTGCGTCCCAAGACCTCGATAATGCGTGCGCTATGATCAAGAGTCACCCAAGACCGTTCGATCCTTACGAGCCTGCCAACGCTCCTGGTAGACCGGGCCGTTGCGAGCTTTGGATTCTCTCTGTCATCGATACTCTCCTTGGAGATGGCCTCCTCCAGCCGCCTCCGCCGGAGCCTCCCGCTCGAGGCTATCATCCTCCAAGACATCATCACACAGCTCACTGCACTCACCAACGACTCTACTCGTATCATCCCTACCGACGAAGGAGCCGCCCGGCTTTGGACCGTGGTCAATGATGTGCCTGAGATGCACTGACACTGCTGCGAATACTTGAGGCAGCAAAGAGATGTGTCCAAGGGTCAACAAAATGCTGGAATTTGACATGTGTTTTCGCTCAAAGGAAATCTTAATTTGAACGTACGGCAGATAGAAACATATTGATAGTGGGGTAGCCAACTCTTGTATTCATTCAACAGACTTTTGCAACAATAAAAAATCATGAGATTCAACTCTTTCAATCATTCCGCCCCAAGTGAATAAGAAACAAGACTCATAAACTCCCTGTATCCCTCCCAAAGCACCATCAAGATTGAACAACCATAGGATAAAAGACAGACGCAAATAACAACGGCCATAAGAGATGTATCCACGGATCCAGGATTAAAAAAGAACAGAAAAGTAGATCAGAGCCAACCCGTCTAAACCCTCAATTCATCCTCCCGCCGCGCCGTCCATGCTACCAATCAGGCTTTCTCATAGTACCAAGCACACAATCGTCCGCATAAAAAAGTTCCGGTTCTCCAGTTTTGATCAAAGTCCAGTAGTGTTGTGTCATATGTATGTACGGCTCCGGAGATCACGTTGTGCTTGATTCAAGGTTGAAATGTCGTTCCGATGACTGATTCCATATGCAACACAGTAAGTCCTGGATAAAGGTATCCCAACGCCAGGTTGCTCTAAATTGTCGACTTTCACAATTGCCATGTGGCCAGCAGGGTGTAGCAAATATCCAGGCTTGAGCAAGTTGACTCATCCCAAAGGTTACTCAAGAAAGTCGGCCTGCGGTGCAAACAGGAGTGAATTCAGTAGAATCCAGGGCAACAAGCGACCTATGTCGCAGACAGTAATGAAGCAAGTTGCGATCCAGTGATGTGAAACGAGTATGATTCCAGATTCGTAGTCATTGAATCACCTTGTTCGCATGTTACCTTGGCTCCTTGCAAATGTATTCTTAGATACTTGTTTTGTTTCTTTGTGTCCCAAGCAACCCATTGCAGACGCAAATGAGTACCAGTATCGTCAGCGACGAGCGTGAGCAAACCTCGGCTGAGGTAAGTTGTCCAGGTCATGGGATCCAAAGCAAAACATTGCTTGAGTAGGAAGAGATCCAGGCAAAAGCAAACATCCTCATGGAGTGGGTCCATTCCTTGGTCAAGTGGGAGGAATTTGCCAGGTGGTTGATCAGAGTCCAAGTATGTCCAGGAAGTCCAGTAAGAGGTATCCAAGGCCAAAGAGTTCATGTATGCACCTAGCTGCTTGAGTCAAGTCTGGCGAGTCAGTGTCTTTGCGATTCATATCGAGACAAATATCCATGGAGAGTCCATAAGTGGAAAGAAACGTGAAAAGGGGGAAGCAAAGGGAAGCAAAAATTCCTTTCAAAGGGTTGGCTAATATATACAAGCTCGTTCAAACTCACCTTGCTGTCCGGATGCCGGCCTCTGCCAATTATTATTCCGATGAACACCGCGTCTCGACGATGGTAAACACCGAAGAATCCGGGAGCTAAAGACATTGGGGTCGAGAGCAAGAACCAGCCAGATCCAGGAAGAACGAAAAACAGAATACTCCCCCTGAGGGCGCGTCCGGACAGCAAGGTCATGATATCGAGATACCACCCCAGATCCACGTGGTAAGGGATGGCTCCCTTTCCTTTTCCCAACTCAGCGCCGTGTCCCAGTATAAAACGTATGCAGCATGGTCTCATCCGTAAGGCAAATAATGGTGTATAGTCGATGAGGTCGTCAATCCAGGAAAGGCCCATCCACAATGCAATGTCGTCATAAAAAGAGTAAAGAAAAAATACACCAAGGTATGCGTCTCGTAAGGTCCAGTTCGTGTATCCAGGGCATCATCGGTAGCAAACAGTTGGCACGGTACGTCCAGGGGTATTATCGACTCCAAGGGAGATCCAGGTTTGTAGAAGACGGAATCAGCGTCCAGAGGGATGGAATTTGATACCTTTCCAGTAGGAAGCTCCTATTGAGATGCAAACTTGCAACTCGGTGGTGGCACCAGCCAGAGAAAAGAAATCTGAAACCTCTGAAGGGGATCATATCCGGAAGAAACAGAAAAGGATGAAATGGTCGATCCAAGGAAAATAAGCCGTACTCCATATAACCCGGTCATTATGCAGAAATCATCACACTCGCGAGGAGGTCGGAGTGCCTCGTCAAGTCAAGGCAGGGAAGGGAAGGGCACAAAGATCCGGCCTTGGTCCTCCGGGAACACACCTTTTACCGGCGGCTTGATCGGTGGTGTCGGTCTGTGCTGTGCCTGTCGCTCTCTCGTTCACTACGTCGGCTGCTGGAGGTACCACTGGGATTTGTTTGAGTATTTGTTGGTGTCGCGGAAGCGCGAGTGCGGGGGGTTTCTTCATACTGTGAGGCCTGAGTATATCCTTGTGCTGTTGATTGACCTGCTAAACCTTGAGTGTTAGTAATTCGACCATGTGGAAACCCGCCGCGCGGGTGTTGCCTCCGCTATACGCACCACGACCGTAAAAGGGATCCTGGGGCTGCATCGCGTAGCCCGCAGGAGGAGCCTGACCTGAATATGGGTAAGCAGTGGCCGTATAGCCTTGTTGCGTGGGAGCAGCAGTGGCATAGGCCTGCTGAGCAGCAGCAGCAGCTGATGACGCCATCTGGTTAGCGTAAGGGTCGTATGCGCCTCTGGAGCGCTGGTTTGTTCCAACGGCCACGTAAGGGCTCTGGGAAGCCTGGTAGGATGGATCCATGGTGGCCGCGGTAGTAGAGCTGAACCTAGTATCCGCCGGGGGAGGAGATTGCTGGGCTTGGGCATAACCGGCAAACGCACCACTACTTGAGGCACCGTAAGACTGGCCGTATGAGCCAGCGGCTCCAGTGTAACCGGGAGCACCCGTTCCTGGATATCTGGGACCATCAAAGGCAGGGTCACGAGCGTATGGGTCGGTCTGATAAGGGCCCTCGGTGGGACCGTGGTGCTGACGCGACTGGTGCGTCTCCGAGTAGCGGTATTGCACTACAGGTGAGTTAGATGAGTGTCTCGGCGGTACGCCAACGTTTCTCGAGGCAATAGTACCTCCAGAGGTATTGCGCGACGTCTGCGCACGCCTTTCACTATCCCATCGAGCAGAGTCTGCTTTCAGATCCTCAATCATAGCCTGGCGTATATCATTAGCATTTGATGGATAGTTATAATGCTGAGAAAGAAACTCACAGTTGTAAGATTCCTGTAAGCGGTGATGTAGTAGCCTTGCACGGCTTGGCCTGTCTGAGGGTTCTGTTGTGGTGAAATGTGAGCCATTTGTTTATCGCGATAGTGGGGTTCACCATGGTAGACGGCGTACCTCGTAATGACCGGGACGCACGAGAGCATCGTTGCCTAGATAGCGGCAGATGTCGGCGGAGATGACTTCACGGTCGATGCCATCGCGAGGGACGAAGTATTCGTTTTGTCGTCCTGTACCAGAAGTGGTAGGGGCAGCGTTTCGGGATGATCTCGACATGTTGATGTGTGGGGAGGATATGGCCGACGAAGAGGTAAGATGAGATGAGGAAGAAGAAGAGATGGAAGAGAAGGTCGACAGAAGAGCGGGAGAAGAGGAGATAGAGCCGGAAATGGGGGAGGAGGGAGACGACGTGGAGAGAGCTGAGAGGGTAGAACAGGCAGAAAGAGAAGAAGCGGGCAGGTGAGGATGAGGAGGAAGAAAAGGCGAATGGCGGTGGTGGGCGGTGGGCGTATCCTGTGGGTCTGCACTGTCTATTGGCTGTGGTAATGGTGGTGCTGATGCTAGGCGCTGACGAGGGGATTTCCCACTGGCAGAGTGACTTGCAGGAGACCGAGAGGCCAGAAGACGTCTGCTGGCACCAGTGCTGACACTGGAGCTCGAGCTCAGATTGGAATTTGACCGGCAGTGGGACAGATTTTGCTGACGGCGAGACGCAGTTGGCTGGAAGCGTCGCCTCGGCGTTGGCCTTGGTGGAGATGCAGGAGAAGGCAGAGGAGGAGGAGGGGCCAGTCCAAAGACAGATGTTGCTGGTGCTGATGATGGAGGTGCTGGAGGGGGGAAAGAGAATGAGAATGGTGGCGATGAGCATGCAGGAGGTTGGTTATGCTGATGCTGATAACCAAACCCGGAAGGTTGAGGTTGCTGATGACTTGATATTGATGGGTCGTCGCCCACAAAACCCTGATACTGTTGGGCGTTGTGATTTTTGTGGTGGAGCTGGTTCTGATTTTGCAGTAAGCCAAGATAGTATAAGCTGGGGTCTCCCGGCCGTTCGAGACAAGACGGAGACTCTGCTAATATCTCGTCTATTGACGAGGAATTTCCCTCTTCAGGCTGGGCTGTCAACGTGATGACTGATTCTTCCCTGGGACTATCCGTGCCGGACGCTTGTCTCCCTCCTTGACCGAGCCCAACACCAAGCTGCGGGATCTGCAACTGGCGCTGGCCTTGTGCGTGGGTGCCCTGATACTGATCCTGATCCTGGCTAGCCTGGTCCTTGCCTGTTCCGTGCTGCCAACAACCCTGCGTCCAGTGGCGACCTATTTTGGTGGGCCATTGGACGTTACCGAAGCCAGATGCGGTTGGCACGTTCTGGGTTTGCAGAGCTTGCTCTACAGCGCCTGGGTCCTGGTCTCGAGGTTGGGCTTGGACTTTGGCGGTGACTGACGACACTTGGGCACCGTGAGAGGCTGGGCTAAACCCTCTGTTTGTCAGTTGAGAGTCTCTAGGTTTCAATTTCTCTCCAAGATTCAGCTCTCGACCTTCTTGTGACTCTGCGACCAAGCGGTTTCCGGCTGGCGAGTCACAGCGCAGCCCACCGTATGCTGAATGATCAATGATTGCGGTGGCGGTCACGGCGAACGCCGCTTGTTGTCAAACGACTTTTGACACCGCGACAAGGCTTGTCGTATTTGTGTGAAACTGCTCAAAGTCCCGTACCTAGGACTTAACATCTATCCTGTCAACTGAGGTTTTGCACCGTGATGTACCCCTCGATGTGGTGTGACAGATGCTCTGTTGGCCACTTTTCCTGTCTTATCCCATTAAGGAAGTACAGATGTCTCGTCGTCTTGGTCGCAACGTGGCTTGTCCCTTGTTTGTTCCAAAGATAGCGAAATTGCGTCAGTTATGGGGTACTTTGATTGAAATATCAATTCTCGAAAATTGAACATGGAGAAACGATTCAATCTGTCGTTTATTAAGATCGAACCCGTCGCGGTCCGGATCAAAGATCGAAACGGATCACGACCTTGTCTGTGCTGGCAACGCAGGATGTTTGGGTCCTTTGGGGACAGCTATTGACAACCAAACAAGTTGCAGATATCAATAGCATGCGCGGCAGATGACACTTCCAATATCGCTCTGTTTCTCGCGTACAAGGCTATCCCTTGTTTTGACGATGCCCAACGACCACTCGAGCCTTCTTCTCCGTCTGTGGTAGGATAATGATGGCGGCACGCCGTCTCTAAGTTACGATCGCCCTCAAGCGGAGCTGAGATACCTCGTACGAAACTCGAATAGGCGACATCAAACTTTGGTTTCTTCAAAAGATCAGCGCTTGTTGGTGAGACTAGTACCGTAGTGCCGTGAGGTAAATTGTAGGCGATCAAGAGAAATAATGATGGGGGTACTATGACGTCTTGCTTTCCAACTTGGGATTTTCTTTTCTTTTCCAGGGAAATGCCGCGATCTGTAAGAACGAGGCTACCTTGCCGAAGTGACAGAAGAATGGGAGTGGACGAGAAGAATGAGCGGCCACAATATGTGCCATCGGCTCAGCTCATCATACACCTCACACTGCTGCTTTATATCCCTCGTCAAGTATTCAATACTCCCGATATGTGCAGATTCACTATCGCTCCTCAACTCTAAGCGACACGTAGATAGATGGAGCTGGTCGCCAGTCTACTCAGCTCTTCGTCACCTATCGTGGGAAAAGCTGTGCCTCTATTCCGTTGCCGTTGCAATATTTGGTCTCGCCCAACTGTCTCGGGACGTTGGGCATCCTTACTCCTGTGGCTCCTTGTTTCTCCATGTCATGTCCCAGTCGTTGTCGCTGACCGTGAATTGCAACCTTTAACGCCCACAAATGATAGGCAACGTGTTTACACAACGGGATGCTTGTCAGATGTTGCGATATTCCAACAATACCGCAGCTGCATTTGAGGCCTATTCCCGGTTTGAGACTTTGAGTGGCTGGCGGTTGGCTTTTCGGCTGCACTTTGGAGGGTGGGTTGGGTAGCAATGCTTGCACCAATTGAAGCCCAACCCTCTACGCCTAGGTCCATGTGTTCGGTGCCCAAGCCTTGCTGTCCAATCATCTGGGGAAATTTGACCCAAACTTGTCAACGTCTTGGCATCCGCGAAGTCGTACATTTTGTCATTATCTTTGATGGTCTCTGTACCTCCATCAGCAGATTGTGGTTTTATCAGAATGCTTCCGGCCTCTCCGTTGACTCAGGATGAGGCGCGTGCGTAAGAGCACGACAGCCTCATACTTTGTTGATCCCCCTGATGGGCGGTTCGGCTATTCGCAGCCTTATCGACCTGTCAAGCCGCTTCGGTTGTTTTGACAGACTTGTGTGACCAGGAATCTGCAGGTTCCCTAGATTGTGCATCTGTCTCTTTCTTCAAGGGGCTTCAGAACGCCAACGAAAAGTGGATTATCGCACAGCCACGGCTGTACGAACAAGTCCAAGTCTAGTGTGTGCTGAGGAGAATGGTGATAACAGCCAATGTAACATGTCGTCTTCTGGCGGCAAAGCCCAAGTCCAACTGATGCCGGTGCATCGAGTTACCTGGATAGCCTTCCATTATGCTGTGATCTTTTATCGACGATAACGCAAAGTGAGCGTGAGCAATTGCAACACAAAAGTTCAAAAGTTCGTGCGAGAAACCACACAGTGATCGCTCCCTGTTCAACCAAATTTGAGTCGACTTTGACCTTGCTCGAGTTTGCCTCCCCGGTTCCTTCTTGAAGCGGTTCCTTGCGTCTTTTGCGCAGAGTTACGTGCAGTAGGTTGTCGTTCAGCGAATGTCGGCTTGACACGTTCTGCGTCCTGCAGATCTTTGGCCATATGCCAATCCATATGGTTTTGCAGCGCTTCCGGGTCCGCGAAACTGGCTTTGCAGCGAGAGCATACAACATCGATCAATGAATGCTGATTTTGATCCACCTGCACATCGAAGGCGCTCTCATGCGATGGTGATGCGTAAGACTGATGCATGGCAAGGTCGGATTCATGGCGGGCCTCATAATCATACTTAGTAGCGAAACTGGGGGTCTTTTGGGTGGGATCTGATAGCATAGAGTAAGTTTTGGAGTCTTCCCCGTGAGTATGTGAGTCGGTTAGGAGGCTTCTTTCGTGATCAATGGAGGGTCGCTTGGAGAAGAACCGCTGAATGCCACCATCCTCGACGCGGCGTTTCTTCGCGGAGGGTTCCGGTCCAGTAGAAGATTGACGGTTATCGGGAATCGACGATCGAAGAGCTTCTGCCTCTTCCCCCTTGACAAGAAATGCGCCAATGCCCATGTTGCCTTTGACGCCATCTTCAAAGCCTGCTACGCTGAGACTCAAGTTTGCGCAAGGCCAGACTCCTCTCCCTTCTGCGATTATCTGCGAAAGGAGATCTTTAGCCAGTTCGAAGAGACTGCCTTCGTCTATGATTCTGCCTTGGGGGATGGGCGCTTGCCGAGATCGTACTTGTCCCTCATGGCGATGATGTAAGTTCATCGTCCTCGGTCGTCTCTTGTTTTCCGAAACTCCCTCCTCAACAAGGCGAGCGAATATGTCGGCTGCGAAGATTCTCAGCCATCGCGTTGCTTGTTCTGAAGAGCTGATAGTTGGACGAAAAGATTTGGCCGATAGCATCGACTTGATCCGTGTTCTTGAGTTGACCTCGCTTGTGTCAATGCCTCGGATAGTATTATATATCCAAAGACCTATATCATGGCCAAGCTTTGCTTTCATAGTTGTCAAGGGGACGCCTAACAGTTCAGTGACACTCTCTGTGTTGAATGCCGATACGATCTGCTCTCCGAGTTTGCCACCCAAGTTTCGAAGCTTTGTGATTTGAAAGCCAGCCATGAAAGCAGACACAGCTCGGTTACGTACAACAGTCTGTTTGTTTGGTTTCTTGTATGCCGAGCCCAACTTACTGAGAAGCTTGTTGCTAGCTACTCCAGCTGAGCATGTGTATCCCAACTTCTGTCGAACTTCAGCCCTGACATTGCGAACGATCTCAGATCCGATGAGGATTGCCACATCGTCCCAATCTGGGTCGGCCGTTTCCTGTTCCTCATCCAGATCGATCAAAGCATCGGTCTGCCAGTCGAGCGCGGCAATGGATGGCAATGGAAGGTTCTCAGTAGGGTCGTCATAGGGGGGTGGGTTTGATAATTCTGGAAAGCGCTCCAGAAGGATCAAGTGGATTTGGCTCGAAAGATCAAGGAAGACCTCATCGATACTTGCTTTTTCCACCTTCTGGAGATCAAGCGGCAGAGCCTCTTTGATACATGATAAGATCTTCCGAGACTGAAGACGGTAGTGATCGAGTGAAACCTTATCTGTTGCGATGTGGGCGGCAGCATCCTCGCGGTATGCCCACTTGTCGTCGCCTTCTCTCCATGTAGCTACGTGCTGGGCAATGAGTTCGGGGCACAACTTTTTTGCTTCTTCGACATTGCAATGGCGTCCAATACCAAATTCGCGTGCAGGATAGTTGACTGCAATGAGACCTTGCCTGGTGGAATGTCAGAATTGGAAAGTAGGTAGGGGAATCATAATAGTAGGAGTAACGCTCTGGTGGTAACTGAGAGAAGAGGGCTTCTGGACTGGAGATAAACCCCAGCGTGGCAAAACGAGGCTTTCATTTCCATGGCTATGAAAGACCACCGTCTATGGATGTAATCGTGACAACTTTGCCTGCCATCATACAATTGTGACCGAGAACCGTGAAGCGGCAAGGGTCATTGTTACACAACCTGGGCCGGGAGGTCACGATCTTCGGAGAATTAAACCATACGATTATTCAAGAGGTTCAGCTGAGGGTTGTTCTTGGAGGCTGCGAGATGAATTGTTGAATCGAATCTTCATGCTCTACAGCGTTTCAGAGATTCAGAGGAGGAACATTCTCTGTTCCGCGAACGATGAGCAGTCATGCCAACAAGCATCAAGATGTTCAGTGACGGTCCATCTCGCAAGCTTGAGAGTAACACGATGCAAGCCTCAGCGAAAACCAATTGCTAGTGTCCAATCACTGCTGCATCCCAAGAGAAGAATCGAGCAATAGACTCGATTCTCAGGCCAACAAGGGTTCTGAGGAATCGGAGAAAAGAGAAGGCACGTTGTGTTCCATGAGAAGTGTGAGAGTGCAGGAAAATCAGGGCTTGACCTTGGTAGTCTTCTGGGACTCGGGAAATAGGAAATGCATTTGTGCTCACCATTGTTGAACGGCTAACGGCTTGTCCTCTGAAATACCAAGTCTAACCGTCTCGCACTGCGCATAGAAGGCGTCGAGGTCAATGTGAGCAATGACGCGCAGCGGGTTAGAAGTGTTGGACGAGGCAAGTTGTGAGAATTGGCGATACGTGAACTGAGAACGCCGTCTGCCTCCTTCAAGCAGTGGTGACGAAGCCCCGAGAGGCCTGTGGAGCGGTGACGAAGCCATCAGATGTGAGGCTTCAATATTTTAGGGCTTTATTGACAGTGAAAAATGCATTCGTGTTGTGCGGCTACTGCAAGGCGTTGGTAATGCAGGCGGTCGATGTCTCTCTTCACGGAGAATTTCTCGTGTTCGCGAACGCCACAAACAATGCAATAATGTCGCTCTCTTCAAAAGCTCTCCACGAGTTGGAGCTGAGTTCCTTAAGGTGCTTGAGAAAATTGAGATATGATCCCACAAGGAGTCGTAAGCTTAAGATGAAGGTAGACGTTATGAATGGAAGGAGGAACGCGAGATGTGATAGGTCCGCGCCAGTGCCATTCACCTCCTTCACAGAGTAAGATCCACTTTCGAACATCGTTCCTTCTTGCCTTTAGATCACGTTCATTTACAATATGATATTTCTAGTGGAAGAAACTCGTTCTTTTTTTTTTTTTTGGCTCTAGGAGAAACGAGTTTTGCAATGATAAATGTTTGCTTGAATAACTGTTGTGTTATCGAGGTCACACAGCTGACATGCAGAAACATGCACGATGTATATTCAAACGAGATCTTGGACCAGAAATCACAAAATTTCAATAAGGTACCCTATAGAAGCTCTCCTACATGAACTTCCTCATATTCCAGTGAAATTTCAAGTCTTCACGAATTTTTTATGTACAGGGAGGTTCTTTGGTTGCTGAGTGTTAAGAAATCCATTCAATCCGTGACAAGCTACCCTGGACCATGTCGACTGCGATGGCTTCAACCTGCATCTCAACCCACCATACGGAGCTCTTCCCCTCCTCCCTTCAAGTAGCACTACCTATATCACTTATTCCTCGGGTGACTTAGAATCTCGAAGAAATGCTCATCTGGCTCTTCATAGTTCTCCTTCACAATCACCTACCCGCTTCCCCAGCGCAGGAACTTCAGCCTTCTTACCGCCTCTCCACGTACATACGACCAAAGCTCGTAGAGAATACGGGATCCCGTCCGCTCTCCCATAGTCAAGCTGCGAAGCGCCGGATTAGTAGTTGGGTCGGTGACGACCAGCGAATCCCCGGTGTTGTATGTTTTTTTTGTGTTATTCGACATGTCTTTTTGCCTTAGTAACCATTATTCAGGGTACTGCATATAAACGAATTGGCTGGGAAGCCTGTAGTTAGGAAGTGATCGTTGTCGGGTGAGTCTTTTGTTCAGCGTTCACAATAGTCAAGTCTGTATCTTTGTGATGCTCCACTTGTGATATCTGAAGCTCCTATCAACACCCACACTCTCCAGGCAAGGAACAGCGGCAACTTTGCCGAGTCCAGGTGCGTGTCTAACCAACCGATCCCAGTTACAACATAAGAAACAATGCGACAAGTGTTTGCGCTCATTGTGATGGTTAAGTTGGACTATACCAACTAGTTCTAGTCTTTAAACATTACGTATACCGATTCTGTCCCTTTCCACTTCTTGATCTTACTCCCCTATAACAAATGAAATAAGTCTTTCTGCGACTCTTTGGGTATCTAATTCGAAGTCACCGCCGCCGCCCTCTTCTCAGGGTCCCTCCCCTCTAGTCCATACCGTCGTTTCAGTTCCTCTAACAGTGGCCCAAACTCGTAGTCGCTCACCATGCTATCATGGCGGGTACAGGGCGAGTGGCGGATGGGTAGAAGCCACTCGATGACGGAGTTTCCCATGATGGATTTGAAGTTTTGCAGGTAACCCAGGTGCCATGGGTTCTCTCCAGGTTCTGTCTGGAGGATGGCGAATGTCCGTCTAGCTTGCTGGTCTCTAGCCGCCATTGCGTTTGGTCGTGCGGACGCTGCGCCATTCACTTGTGTCATTCCACTGGTGTGAGCTGCATCTGGGGTCCTAGGGCCCTCTCCGGGTCTTTCGAGTGGATAGGTAATGGTGTTGAATCGCTCGTTTGATGGGGTATCTGTCGGAACCCGAACTGCCAATCGAAAGATCTGGTTCTTCCTAAACATGTCGACATTGGTGATGTTTTGAAAAGCAAATCTTAAAGCCGTAGCTGTCATGGTTATGGCAAATAAGCCGAAAAGACCACCAAGTGCCAGACCAACAATAAGTCGTGCGTCAATACCCAGGCCTTCTTGTAGGCGTAGGCTGGTAAGGTAGCCATTGGTGGCAATAACAATTACGCAATAACAAGCGCAGTAGAAGCAAAATTGTATAAAAAAGTTAAAGGCTGCTGAAGTGTTAGTTATTGCATAAGGTTTCCCTAGGGTTAACACTCACAAGTTTCCGAGATGATGCCGCCCATCCAGGGACACACATGGTCCATCTTGTGCACGCAGTGGCCATATTCGGTAGAATGATGCGACCGGTCGGGCTTCCAGTTTCTGCACTCGGAGCACCATTTAGGGAAGCCATCGAGTTCGCAAACAAAGATATCCTTGCTGTAGAACGACTCAAGGCCAGGGCTGTCGAGTTCGTCGTCTCGAGGGGCCCATGACGGTATTTCGACGTCGGCTCCGTTGCTCGATCGTTGGTTACGCTCTTTCTCGAGGGCTTCCCTTTCGGCGGTCCAGGGCACAAAGCCAGCGTTGAATTGAACCGTTACGTAGCATCGTATGTAGGCTGTGACCATGAGAAGGAAGAGGATGGAATACAGGACAATTAGAACAACGCCGGTTGCCGTCTTGCCCCTTTTTTGCATGAAATCCTGGACTATTAATTGTCAGAATAAATGTTTGACAAGCAGCAGCACAGCACGAAACCACTTACCGCAGCAATAGACAATGATATCATAGGTTGCGTAAGCCACGAGTGCTAGCATCAGAACAGGAAGCGAGCGCGCAATCCATCGCGTGGAACGGCGTTTGCTGGTTGAGGGTTCTGGCATCTCATCGCTCCATGGGTTGGACCAATTCGACGAATTGTTGGAGTGAAGGCTGGCGGGCGGCGATATCACGGCGTTTGTAGAGAGTGACGAGCGTGTACGGGCTGATCGTGGACGAGTAGTGATCTCATCTTGTGTTGTCGCATTGGCAGTATCCGCTGCAATAACAGTGATACCAGGTCTGGCCAAGTCCGCCAAGCCCGACTCGTCCGGGTGGGTCATCACAGTGCCTTCTATCGCTACCGTTTTCCAAAACACACTGTGTAATTACCCAATGTGGTAATGTTAGATGGAAGGCTCCGAGGTTGATATTGATAAAGATTCGATCGATATATATAATCGTCGACAGATTTTGGTTGAAGAAATGACAAAGTCTCATACACCCAAAATGAGCAGCATGTGCGATACTTATACTGAATGTAATTGCACTTCAAGTTCCTGTCGCTAGGTGAGTTCGCAGTGGGCCATCAATGTTACTGAGCAATTGTCAACTTAGACTTTGATACTCTCGAACCTATTTACATGGGGCGACACACAGCAACATATCTTACTTACTGATAGAGAATTTACTACATGGGACCCAATAAGAGTCTTTGCATACATGTATAACTTTTTTCAACAGAATCATGGTTGCTGAAGTACTAATGACTGCATTTTGGAATGTTGTATGGTCAAGTGACCGTACCTTTAACAAAATTTCACCGACGTGACAGAGAAACATGCAACTCTAAATATTTGAATCTAATAAACTCATTGAGCTACTTATACCAAAGCCCAGTCCATCATTAAGAATGTCTCTTATGGGACTGACTTGAAGTGTTGGCGACTCACATCCAATTCTGGGGTCCATAACCCCCACTGTCTCTGCCGCCCTCTTCAATGGATCCATCCCAATGCCTTTGTTCTCAGCCGAATCGAGCATCAACCAACAACACAACCAACAAACCAATAAATCTTCATTTCGTTACATCGTAATAACAAAGCATCATCCTCTAATTGAATGGCTGTCATCATCTGCTCCAGAAGCCGCTATTCAAGGATCCCTACACTTTGGACGACTTCGAAGTGTTTGTGAAAGCCCCAAATCAAACCAATGGTACACATTCTGCCTCAAATCCGCCTTATATGCAGAGCTGCTGCACTAACGGCGGATTCTATTCACTGCATTTACAATTCAGATCAAATGAGGTTTGCCTTCTTTGTGATGTATTACTATTGAGTCTATTTTTAGAGTATCAAATATTTGAGCTATCAGAAGATCTACTGGCTTTCAAAAGGAGGGCTGAGCCATTAAGAACTCCTAAGCGACTCGTCAGCGTCGGAGAGTACACGTACACATCGAGACTAGATATAGTGAGGGTTTCCATACTGGAATTTTGAGGGGATTCGAGGAGTCTATTGCTGACTTGAGGCCCGACAACTTCTTGCTTATATGCCTGTCCTGGGCAAGGCATAGCAGGGGCCCCTTAATTAAAGAAATGCCACAGATCGCCTCGGTTATCATGCCACAAGGTTTATGCCTCTAACATTATGACATGTGAGCCAAAGAATCCTTTAGCAATGCTCTTGCTGATTCTGAAGCTTTCGTTATTGGTCACGATGCAGCAGCCTGAGGAGGCTACGACGGGACTGGTGCTAGACCTTAGAACCAAGGAAGCCACGCATTCGATATCAGGCACCAAGGGAACTCCCAATTCTTCTTCAGAGTGCCTAAATCTAGATTCTACCTTATATTTCATCCGTCATCTTCCTTCGCACATGGGCATAGATTTCACCTACTGAGGGCTACAACGTCGACCTCACAAACGTCTTTCTATCAGTGCAAAAATCGGAAAAAACCACGAAAAATGACTTCTGACCTTTGCAGAAGCCGTTCTCGCCTACTTCGAAGATCGTCCAATCCGCTTTTACACACAGCATGGCCTTCCCAAGGCTCAATAAGCGTGTTTTGCCGACAGTGAGCTGCCATCAGCCCATACATCAAAACCCCTGCGCCCGTCTACGATCGCCATTTTTCTCAGCAGCACACAAGATACATATAGCGAGAGCCTTATGAATACTGTGGTTTGATCACTGGTTTTATTGAGAAAACTCTGCTTCAAGCTCGATAGAATTCCAACTCTACGGTTGCACGCTTGTGTGAATTTGCTTATCATACAACCCAGCTTTA